CGTTCCCTTGGAGCGCTGCCTCAGTGCCAGAGGACTGACTGTTCACTGGCTCTGAGCAGGCAGTGTTGACCTTTCCAAAGGCAACTTCAGAGGTTCCATCCCTAACATAGGTCAGAACCTGTTATTGGAATTCTCAGGATGTTTCAGGCACCCTGGTAACGAGCCTGTCCCAACTGCAGAACCATCACATTCCACATAGTCTATGGAGGCACAGCCCACTCAGGCCAGGCCTTATGGGCCAAGAAAATGGAAATCCTAAAATGGTTTAGGATTACTTGTGCTAATTTATTTGGTCTTTTGAGCTGTGAACTTGTAGCCAACACTGCTTGGCCCACATAGATGTGCGGGGAATTGGGCCAGCAAGAGAAGTTTTCGAGGCAGAAAGTACCACTCGGATAGGCACGAAGAGGGAAATGAAATTAACTCACTCTTTCTTTGGTAAAAAATCTTTTACTTCCCCTGGAGAGTTTGATGTGTCCTAAGATAGCACTTGGAATCCTGGTAGGGCACTGTGGGTTAATGCACTAGACTGCAAAGTCAGTTTGAAGCATAAGGTCAGTCCAAGCTCAGCAGCTGCTCCTCAGAGAAACTCTATACAGGGTCGCTATGGGTTAGAACTGACTCAATGGCATTTAATGCAACAACAAAGATAGAACTTACCCTACAGTAGGATTTTAATTCCTAAATCCATGGGATATATTGTTCCGAAGAGCAGCTGGTGAGCTTGAACCACCAACATTTTCGTTCAAACAACATTGCAGTCCAGTGCATTAACTCGGTGTGGGGTCATGTAAAGTGAACCTTTTTCTAAGAACTTAGTGCTTTGTTTTTCATCTGATTTACCAAAGGTTCCTAGTCCAAACAAGATCAGAACTAAATCCCTCAATCAGAAGAGAAAAAATTTGATTGGCAATGTTTAATACATCCCTCTTTACTTTTCAGATTAGTACTTAAATAAGAAGGATGAGTGTGGACAGGAATGCACTGTTGGTAGGAGCTGATATTGGAACAATCTTTCCTGGAAGATGGTGTGGTGATGTACCTTAGAAATCTTGGTGCACCCTGACACAAAAATTCCCTTTTCAGATTTTAATCTATATAAACAGGTTCAAATTGTGAATACACACACACACTTGCTCATGACACTTTTCATAATGAACCAAAATGCTCATCAATCTGTGAATAAACAAAGCTCACTGCCCTCTAGTCAATTCTGACTCATGTGACCCTATGTTTCCAAGGTGTGGCGCTGTGGGTTAATGCGCTCGACTGCAAAGTTAACCATAAATTCAGTGGTTCAAGCTCACCAGCTGCTGTTCAGAAACCCTATGCGGGGTCACTACAGGTTGGAATTTAGTCAAGGGCACTTACCAATATGGAAACAGACTGCCCCATCATTCTTATGCGAATCAACAGGTGAGCTTACTTATCCCATTGGCTTGTCAGCAGCTGAGCACTGAACACGTGGCTACAGGGACTCCTTAAATGTTCAACAGTTGTTGGGTGCTGTTGAGTTGGCTCTAATAGTAATACTATGTATAACAGAACAAAGCACTGTCCAATCCTGAACTATAATTAAATCCTTTGTTGCAGTCATTGTCTCAATCCATCTTGTTGTGTATTTTCCTTTTATAGTGACCATCTGCTTAGCAAGCACTATGATGTCCTTTTCCAAGAGCTGGTCCTTCCTGACAAAACGTCCAAAGCACGAGACAGTCTCACCATCCTTTTTTCAAAGGGACATTCTGGCTGTACTTCTTCCAAGATAGATTTATTTGTTCATTCATTTGGCAGTCCATGATATATTCAATATTCTTTGCCAAAATTATAATTCAAAGGCATCAATTCTTCAGATGTTCTTTATTCACGCTTCAGCTTTTGCATGCATAAGAGGTAACTGAAAGTAATGTGACTTGGGTCAGGCACACCATCTTCAAAGTATATTTGCTTTTTGACACTTTAGTTTAGCAGATTTGCCCATTGCTAATGGATTCAAGTACAATCGTTCAATAGGGGATGTGACAGAACATCCAAGACAATGAATTGCTATGTAACTCAAAAGAAGAAAGTGGATCCACCTGGATTGTTCTAAAACCGGCTTGGAGAAAGTGGGAAGCAGCAGACTGCTTGTGCTTGTGCTCAGGACACATAATCTCCGGGGGAGAATGATGCGATCAGGGACAGGAGGAAGACTTGCTTTATGGTCCAACCTTTTGTATTGTTTGATGTTTTGTCATGTACTTTTGTGTGTTTTGCAGTGAATTATTTAATGTCTTTTCTAGCCATCATCTTTGTAAACTCTCACCAAACGACTTTTTCCTGATGGGTCTGGGTAAGAGAAGATGGGGTGGGAAGTTGGTGAACTGTATGATTCCGTTGTAAGGTGTTAATAGTGTTGTGATTGGTCAATGGGATCTCAATACCATTAAGGAAAGTCTGGAGTGGAGCAAGTCCTTTGGATCTTGAGATAGCTGTGTTGAACCATCTTGATCCAGGAGACAGAGCTGTGACACCAAGGAACAGAACCAAGAGCTAAAGTGGACTCCCTGACCCACAGAGCAAATAAAACTTGAGTACCTTTGGGCAGGAGGCTCATTTGTGGAGTGGGATATCTCTAGGTACTTACATGAGAGCTGGGTTTGCTGGCCCACTGAGCTAAAGCTGAGTACCCTCAGGGTGAGGCTTATAAACAGGGTGTAGTGTCCTCTGAGCATTTATCAGCAACCCTTAAAAGAGCTTTGTAACATTGCCTTAGTAGGACAGAGGGCAGAACAAGAATCAAGGGCTGGAGAGACTTGCCTGTGTGTATGGCTAAGGAAGCTCTCCTGACTGAAAGAACTGTGCACTGAACATCCTAGTCATGAACTGTAATCTGTTACAATTATAACTCTATAATCCTAAATGTTGGTCTCTTGAGTTCTGTATGGCCACTGCAATGAATTATTGAACCCAACTGAGTAGAGTGCTGTGAGAGAGATGGATGGTGGCATTTTTTACAGTGTGTCACTTAAAGTTCCCATTCTCATTTCTTAAACACAAAGGATGTTAAACTCATTCACCTTCTTGGCAGCCTTGTACCAAACCTTCCTGCCACTGATCAGCCAGAAAATAACCTGACCTGCTTCCAGTAGACAGTGCCATCCTTCCCAGTATGGACAAGTGCCATGGCAGGGAAACAGAAGGGACGCCTGCACCCGCCTCCACCCGATGGTAGGGTCTGTCTGGAAACTGGGCTGCATTCAAACAGCAAAGTGGACACATACAAAGGTTGACGTAAAATCATTTAAGAAATTCCAAATTTCTGTTTCTGTGGGCATTAAGGAGAGTGAGACAGAAAACCAGGAAGATGGTGGAGAAGAAAAAAAAGTGAAGAACAAAGTTTAAGCATTATGAGAGAAAGAAGAAAAGGAAGGTACTGGATTTTCATGAGCGAAGAAAACAGGCTGAGTTCAGAAGTCTCACTGGTAAAAGTTTTTAGTATTGCATTTTGATTACAGGTGTGTAAAACAAAACAAAAAATGTTAAGAGTATTAACTTCTGGAAAAACGCAGAGCCAACTTCCTTTTAGATGAAAACATAGGTTTGGGGATTAAAGTAGACCACATGCTACCTGGGGTAAAACAAGGAGTGCTGGATGGGAAAGGAAATCATGGGTTCAAGAAACCCCAAGATACAGAGAAGCTTCCAGAGGAAGAGGGCAGGGTCTCTCTAGGTATTACTTCCCCAAATAGCCCTCTCCCAGGGGTGTAGTTTGGGCAAGTCCCAAACCCACAGATCATGGGTGCTTCTGGACATGTGCAAAGGTGGGGACGACTTCCTTTTCCAGTGGGTCTGCTTCCCTCACCAGTGCTGCCTATCTCACAGACCTCAGAGTGGCACGGTGGCCCACTAATGTTAGGTAGATGCCAGACACACACCAAAAGGTTTGAATCATAGACCAACTATATACAAGGCCCTCATCATTCTTGTGCCTTCAGAGAATCCAGAGGGCCCAAAAGACTTGGGGGAAAATCAAACCAGAATTCTTCCCATAGCCACTAAAAGAGAGAACTCTGCAGCTCTTGCCTTTGTCTTTGACCCTGAGAAAATTTGCTGAGGGAGAAAGTTGAATGAGGCTGTGATTGAACAGGGAGGGGCAGCCCTCCCAAGGGAAGGGATGGTGTGCTTCCTGCAGAACTGCCTCTGGAGTTCCCATAGCCCAACTCCTGGGCTTGTGGGCTGGGTGCTCTCTGGCTCCCCACTTAGTCCTGAAGCAGGGACCATGATTGGCAGAAGAGGTGGTAGAAGAAAAAGCAGCAGCAGGCTCTCCATATGAGCCTGCACCATCTAAGGCAGTGGCCTGCTTTCCGGGACCTGCCCCACCCACAGACGGAGGCCTCTACCACCTTAGCACCAGCAGTCATTCACACAGATGGCCTCCTTTCATGAAAGGAATCCTTTGGAATGCAAACATTTGGTGGGCTACCAGGTCAGAGACTGGACCTGAGCCAGATCTGTCTATCCCCTCAACCTGGATTCTTCAGTTATTGAGGTGGGACCCTCATGCACAGGGTTATACCGGGAAATTAGTGTTTCAGAGAGGACCCGGGTCATAGACAAGGGAGGAGCTTTCTCCCTGAGCTGGTTTGGACAATGCCACAGCCCAGATGGACTCTGATATCCCTGAGCAGGGCAGGGAGCTGTGAGGGGGAGAGCCCTATAAATGCCAACCGGCTTCCTGACAACACAGCCTCTGGTGGGTCTCCTGAGCACTCCTTCTGGGGGTCTCTCCATCCCCCATTGCTCAGATCCTAACACTGCTTGTCCTCTAGGACAGAAACCAGCCTGTCCCGGAGCCTCTCTAGGCTGAGGAGGGACCTGGATGGTCACTCTCTCTCAGGGCCAGGAGCTGAGAGAACCATCTCAGGCTTGGCATCCTGGTGTGGCCCAAATGGAAAGGTTCTCTGTCCTTTGCCAAGAGTCACAACAAAGTGTGTGGTCTCACAGCAGGCACAGCCTCGTTTCTTTTAAAAAATAAATATTTATAAACGTAGGGAGGCAGATTCGAAGAATTAAGAGTATTTTTCCCTCCGAAAGCACAAATGTCCCATGTTAGTCAAACCAAGGTAAGTCCACTAGCCCGTAAACAAAACACTACCCCCTGGCAGATGCTCCTTAAGGGGCAGGCAGGGCAGGGGCAGGTGGCTCGCCCCTTAGTCCCCCTTGGTGATGAGGTCCTCAATGTAGGCATCCAGCTCGTCGTCAGTGTTGATGTCTATGTCCTAGAAGAGAGGACAAGGATCAGATGGAGGCTGGAGGGCAGTAGGGGGCCCATCTCACCACCCTTCTCTCTGCTCCTGGGGCCAGAGTCCCATCTTCTTCCCTCTGCCCTATCCACTATATATCCAGACAAGGCCAACAGTTCTTGTCCTGCCCTGCCTCTGCCCCAAGTCCCCAACTGCCTTGGAGTTGCCACAAGCTTCTCAAAGTTAATTCAAAAACAGCTGCACTACATTCTCCACCCCAAGGTGCTCCCATACCATCAGAGGTACCACCTTCCTTCCACCTATAGGGGCTTAAGACAAAACAAGAATAATCACCCTGATGCCTCTCTTTTCCTCAGCTGATAGGACCCTTCTTTCCCTCCTCATACCATCATCCAGGGTCCTTGTCACATCTCTCCCCACTCCCCGAGAATTCATGGAAGTGCCTGCCCACTGGAGTCCTGCTGCCTCAGTCCCCACCCCCAAGACTGACTCCAACTAACTAAGCAGAGCATCTCAGACAGGCCCCTCCCATGCAGCCTTCCCACTCTCAGCATCCAGGCCCTGCCACAGTGGCCTGACTCTAGTTCTGTCCTCACCTCGGGCCTTGTTCTTCCCCGCTCTGTGGATGGTTGTTCTCCCCTGAACACCCCAATAGCTCAGCCTGCCCGTTTTGCCTCTCTCATTTGGTAGCACTTGCCAACATGGAAACTGTCTCTTCCACCAAACTGACAGAGCAGGGACCTCAGCTTGCCTATCTTGTTCACCCACATCCACAGGACAGGCAGGGAACAGGCCCTCAGTGCTGAAGGACTGAGACCCTAAGGAGACACTCCCCACTCCTGGGTTACCAAGCCTGTCTCAGCATCCTCTGGGAAAGAGCTGCTTTCTTTTTTATGGTTTGGAGGGTTTTCAAACCAGGTTGTCTATCAGAATCGCCCAAATGGGGCAGAAGTCTGATTCCGTGCATCTGGCTAGGTTGAGTCAGGAACAGCTGAACCCCGTCATGCCCTCTGGTCAAGGCAGATGTAGACTGCAGTGTCCTGTGAGTGCGGAGAAGAGGGCAGGAGGAACCCCAGCCCCCCTCCCCACCCCGGGGCACCAGGTGGTCCAGCTGCCTGGCTCACCTCCTGCACCTTCTGCAGGAGTGCCACGATGTTGGTCCTCAGCTTCTGCAGCTTCTCCTTTGTCTCACGGAGTTTCCTCTCTGAGTTACGCAGTTTCTCCTCGGAGACCTTGGCCCGTGAGTCAGCTCGGCTCTGGTAGGAGTGGCACAGATTCTGGAGCCCCACTTCATACTGTTTGAAGTATTCTTTCTGTCAGGAGGGAAGCTTGACAATGGATGCGTGAGCTCACAGGGGTCCTCAGGACCTTCCCTGACAGGCTGGCCGAGACCAGGGACACTCCTTCTTAAAGGAGTGTCTCAGACACAAAGGGCAGGCACATTCTCTGCCTCTAGAGCAGAAAGACCTCAGTTTGGAACTGTATGTGGCACCATGGGAATCATCCTGGATTCTCTACTGCGTGAGAAGGAAGACAAGTGCACACGTGTAGACCCTCCCCAGAGACCTGTGCAGACAGCTGCCCCATGATGTGAGTGATGTGAGAGTGGGCTTGCTCTCCGGGTGGCACACAGGTCACTCAACTGAGGCTTCACCACACCCTTCTGAGGTTCAGAAATGCCCATCCAGCAATCCACTTCTAAGTCACTCCCAACCACATCAGGACTAGAGTCAATTCTCTTCCACAAACATCTATCAAGCACCTACTGCAGGTTTCTTTGCATTGTTTGCAGCATCAGATCTTTTTACTTTCTTCCCTGAACATACAACAATCCCAAGGAATAGGGTGGTACATTAAGGAGCAGGCTCTCTAGTTGGACATGTGGCTTTTGAAACTTGTAAGTGGCGTAATAATTTTCGGAAATGAAATGCTACATGAAACCTCAGTATAGCATCTCTTTAGGTTTAAGTTTACTGTATAAATTCACATTTTGGAATCCTGGTGTGACACTGCAGGATAAACACTGGACTGCAAGGTCAGCAGTTCAAGCCCACCAGTCACTCCTTGAAAATCCTATACAGGGTAACTATAGTTGGACGTGACTCGACAGTATGAAACAACAACAGCAACAACAAATTCACATTTAGAACATTTACTCATAAATCAGTGAGAATCAAGAATGATGACTATGACCCATAATCAGCAGATCCTGGATGACCACAGCAGTCTTACTTATTTACCTCTGTAAATCCGTGTGACCTACCAGTACTGACAGACTCCTGACAAGTATTCAACCCTTTCATAATCCACTGGATATATAGTGCCCACTGGTGTGGTGCTGTGGGTCTATGCGTCAGACTGCAAAGCCATTTGAACTGCAAGGTCAGTGGTTCAAGCCCACCAGCTGCTCCTTGGAAACCCTATACAGGGTTCGCTATGGGTCGGAACTGACTTGATAGCACTTAACAACACTGTCTAATTTTGGGGTTAAGTGGGAAACCGTTAACCAACTTTTAGGGTATGCTGCCGCCTTGTGGGGATGATCACCTTACCAACACCTGCACCATAAACACCCTTGGGATAAGGTATCCCACTAATGCTATCAAAATTTTTATTCCATTTAAAAAGCTTCCATTACTGAAAACTCTTGGTTTCAACAAAAAATTCAAAGCAAAACATAGTTCCATCTTGCTAGAGGTAACTGTGTCAGTTACCTCACAATTTACAGTATTATCCTATGAAACCAAGTTGGCAACAGGAACTTTATCTCAAACTCTTGCACACACACAAAAAAATGGCCCTGGCAGCACAAAACTAATGCTTAAGCAAACTCCACAGTATCACAATTCAGACTACATCATCTTGAGGGTTACTGGTTTATATTACAGGTTGTCATCGAGTCAGTTCTGACTCATAGGGAGGCTGTATAGGTGAGTCTGCACCACTGACTTTGTGGTTATCAGTCCAGAGCTTATCTTACAGTGCCACACCAGAATTAAAGGTTGTTGTTGTTAAATGCCATTGAGTTGATTCCAACCCGTAACGGCCCTGTATAGGGTTTCCGAGGAGCAACTGATGAGCCTGAACCGCCAACCTTGCAGTTCAAACTGAACTTAAGAGTCCAGTGCATTAACCTACAGCGCCACACCAGGACTCCATATGTCTCTTTGGGCAACGTCCAACCACATATATGACCATGGAACTGAGAGGAGGGGACTGTTTAGAAGGGTACTAGGAGGTGTATGGGACTGCGGTAGCTGTGGTTTGGCCCCCTCGGTCTGACTGCAGCCCCTGAGCTACAGCATGCTCACGCCCTCTGGTCTCCCCAAGTTGTGACATCAACTGCAGCCACAACTCCTGAAGCTCCCACTGGAGGCATACCCTGCTCAGTCACTCCAGATGTCAGTGCTTGCAGGGAGACAGTTTAGCTTCCAGTCCTGACCAGGCTCCCCAAGGCTGCTAAGGAACCCAGAGCATGTCCAATCCAAACCAAACTAAACCCACTGTCAATTCCAACTTACAGCGATCCTGCAGGACTGAGTAGAACTGCCCCACAGCGTTTCTGAGACTCTAAATTTTGAGGAAAGCAGACTGTCTCATCTTCTTCCCGTGGAGCAGCTGGTAGGTTTGAACTGTTAACCTTTTGGTTAGCAGCCCAACGTTTAAACCACTGCACTACTAGGGCTCCTTGCTGCATGCCAAGACAGGCAACTGCAGGTCCAAGTTTGCAAACCCTGAGTTTCTAGGTGTTAACAGAAAGAGCAGCTGTGTAAGGGTTACGTGATATCTGTGTATCAAATCTACACAAGCATATATGGTACAAGAGTCTACATCAGATAATGTCATATTTCAAATAATGAATCATGACATTAAGTGAAGCATCACTGTAATTTTTGTGTGTGGTTGTTTTAACATTCTATTTTTGAGATAATTGTAGATTCATGTGCCTCTGTTCTGTTAGTTTCTTAAATAGTGAAACATATACAACTTCACAGGACTCCTGGAGTGGTGCTGGAGGATAAGCACTGAACTACTAAGAGTACTGGTGTGGCACTGTGGTTTAATGTGCTGAACTGCAAGGTCGATTTGAACTGCAAGGCCGATGGTTCAAACTCACCAGCTGCTCCTCCGAAACCACACACAGGGTCGCTATGAGTCAGAACTGACTTGATGGCTCTTAACAACTAACCACAAGGCTGGCAATTCAAACCCACCAGCCACTCCTTAGAAACCCTTTAAAGTCACTATCAGTTGGAATCTACTCAATGGCACTTAACAACAACAATACAACTCTACAATGATACTTGAATAGATTATTTGCAGGTTCCTGAAGGCTTTATGATGAACTCCTTGTCTGGCAGGATAGGAAAAGAACAATCATTTACAGACTGACAAAGACATACCTTGACACTAAAACAAAAACAAAAACTGGAGTTACTTTATACACTGCAATTAGGAGGACAAGGTGATCTCTGGTATTATACCTTTTTTGCAAAAACAAGCTAATCTGTTAACTATTTTTAGCCTCAAATGCTCATATTGACTGTGTCTGGCTGCTCCAGCCCACTGGAGAGGTCCTGCTGTACCCAGCTATTGCTCTGAGTTTGGCAACAACCTTAAGCCAAAAGCAACAAACCTCTGACTGAGAAGATGCCAGGCAGACCCAGCCCTCCTACCACTGCCCATGCCTCTTGGGATCTGCGGAGAGCTCCTGCAGCCTAAACAAGGGCAAAAGTTGAAGCGTGGTACTTTCTTGTGAAGGAGTTGCACTGAGTTCTGCCTTTTAGCTCCCTAGTTGTGCCCTCTCATTTCACAGGGAGGGCCAAGGGGTATCATGAGACAAGTCAGGGCTTTACCTAGGTTCAAATCTGGACTCCAGCACTTGCCACCAGTACAGACTCTCAGCACTTTGAGCCTGTCTTCCTTCAACTCTTAGTCTCATTTCACTTTCAAACGTAGAGCAAACAAAAAGCTCTCCATGCTTTTCTCTGGCAAATTAGTATATGCACACGGCAACTGCCTGCCACAAACTAACCTCAGTTTCTAGTCTAGTTCTCTTCTCAGGTCTAGAAACTCCTCCTGGGAAACTTAGCTCTTCCTACCAGATCCCAGATCCCTGTCTTCAGCCCTGCCTGTCTTCCCTCCCCTCACTGGTCCCTAATCTCTACCAGAAATGTACTGCTGGTTGGCAGCCCCAACCAACCCAGCCCCTTCAGGCTCACTGTTTTCTCTCCCAATTAATAGTTTCAGCACCAACCTCCACAGATCCAAGAGCCCACTGGCTAACTCATCACTAACCATCTGTGGCCAGTCTGTCAACGACCTCTGACTCAGCTCTTAAACCTGCCAGTCCACTCCCACTACTGTTCCATCACCATCTCTCTCTCCTCACCATAGACCTTTCACAACTGGACCAGCCTCCTTACCTGTGGCTCCTATCCGCCCATCCCATCCAAACACATTGCTACCAAAGTTACAAACTACAACCTGTCGACAAAATCCACCTGCTGCCTGTTTTGTACATAAAACTTTACTGGAACATGGTCACATCCATAAGCCTGCTCTTACAATATACTGGCTGAATTAACAGTTGCCATAGAAACCATAAAGCTGAAAATATTTGCTAAGTGGCCCTTGACAGAAGAGCCTGTTGACCCTGTCCTAGGGCATGGTTTGGATCACCAGTTCTCTCAGTTCAGTATTGGTTGCTATCTCTACCTCAAACAAAGTAGAAGACATTATGCCTCAGACTAGATCTTCCAATGTAGTACACACGTCTCTTAGCCACACTCTTTCTACCCTACAATGCTTTGCCACATAGCCTGCTGCTTTAATCACTCCTTATTCTATCCTCTGGACTTCCCTGTCTCAAACTCTTCCTTTCACCCAATAAAGGAACCCACGTTTTGTTTTCTTCCTCAAACTGAGCCATGCCTTCTCCCTCCCCCAGGCTGCCTCAGCCTCTCCTCACAGCACTCACTGCTCCCGTCTGCAGCCCAACTTGGAGACAGGACACCCTCCCTACTGTGAGGTCAGTGATGGCTTACTTATTTAGCACAGCAACACTGGCTGGGTAAGTAAGGCCAGATCTCATTTTCACACATCCCTGGTTCTTCTGTGCAAATTTCAGGCATTTTTTAGCCTAACCTCTTCACTTTGCCCAGGGCAAGTTTATAGGCATAGAGTCCTTGTAAAATGCGAGCCAGGTCTGCTATCTCTACCTGAGGACTCAGCCCCAGCATCTTACAGGGATTGGGTGGGGCAGCCTTTCTGCATTCCAGTCATACCCAGCTATGCCACATTTGTCCCCCAAAAAGTCTCCTTTGCCTTCTGTCAGAGGGCTGCTCAAGATGACAAATCTGAATCCCAGAGATGGTGATGGACGGGGGCAGCAGGCCGCAGGAGGCATGCAACTGAGAGCTGGTGATCACAATGGGCACCACGGGAGGGATACAAAGTGCAGGCTCAAAGGTCAGGCCAGACTCACCAAAGGAAATGATATTAGCTCATCTGAACTCATAGAACTCAGCTCCTTCTTGGAGATGGGGAAACTCGGAGGCAGAAAGTACCGTAAACAATTCCTAAGCAGAAAGAAGGCAGTGTCAGGATCTAAGAATGGTGTGTAGGTGGGTGGAGAGCTGCTGTGGGCAGCGGGCTGGTGGCTGACACACCCACCGAAGGATCTGGACGAGCAGGTCAATGGTTTCATGGTTGGTGCTGGGGGCGGTGGTGTCCGGCTCAATTCGGATGCAGTCAGAAGTGGAGGGGGGCTCCACTGTGGCTACTGCCTGAGGGACCACTGCCACCACCACCTCTTCCTCCCCACCCTCTTGCTGTGTGTCGGGGCTCTGATACTCCGGCGAAGGGGGTTTCATAAGCCGCACGTCCTCACTGCCTTTCTCCACCCTGTGGAGGACACAGCATTTGAGTCACGAGTGCCCCTAGATTCCCAGGAAGGACTGCTTGCAGGGACTGAGGAGAATTGCGGCAGGAAACCATCTTTCCACCCTCCACCCCTTTCTGTCACCAGGCTCCCAGAAGGGTGCTTTACCAGCGGTCTCTAGGTGTCGTATCTGTGGGCACATAGTCAAACTTCACTTTCCACCGCACCACGTGCTTGCCCACCTCCACGGCTGTGACACGGCCTGTGTACCATTCCCTGTTCACACGGACCTCCACATGCAGCCCCTTATCTGAGAATGGGCACAGGGGGTGAGTCAGAGCCCTCCTCAACCAGGGCCAGCTTGAGAAAGGCAGCCCAAGGGTATGGAAGAACAAGAAACCCCTGACATTTGCCCCCACTATGCTGGGGGCATGGAGCCCAGTCACCCAGGTCTCCCTCCCCTCCCCATCTGTCACAGGGGCCAACAGGAGCCTAACTAACTTACAAAGGCAAGCACCAAGGAATTGGTGCTAGAAATAAACACAAGTGTTAACATTCTGGAGATATCTTGAGATTGATTAAGTTTTGGGACAACTGGGGCATGAGATACAGACCCAGAAAAACTCTAGAAGCTTGAGAACAGAGCTGCTGTTTACCAAATGCTCCACTTTCCATCCCAACCACAGGCTATGCTCCCTCCCGACTCACCTCTCTGAGCCCTCTTGAGATCAGCTGGGTCCTCTTCGCCAGCACTGTCTGAGAGCTGCAAGGACAAGAGAGTAGATCAGTGGTGCCCCAAGCTCCCTGACCATCATGATGTGTCTTCTGGTGCTGCAGCTCACAGAGACACTCCCTAAAGTCACAACCCTAGCAGTGCATCCTTCAGCCACCTTCTTAAACAAGGCAACAGGCAAGGAACAGAGTGGCATAGACATGAGGAATGAACTGACTTCAAGCCCCCAGTCCATCTGTGACTTCTGCCAGAGCCTGAACTAGCCATCCCCAAGGCCGTGACTAGAGCCCCAAGCAAGTCTCACTTACAATTCTACTTGAAACCATGTCTCCATCTGTGTGACTCACAGTCCTTCAGAGAGGTGAACTAGGCTTCCAGAAAGCTCAGTCACAGAACCTAAACATGGGCTGACTCAATCTGCACATGGAGGGTGGAGACCCTGTGGAGGTAAAGCTCTCAGAACCTCCCCTCAACCACCTACCTCATTTGAGTCCTTCTTTTCCTCCTTCACGGTTAACTTGCCCCGTTTGGACCTCTCCTTCTTCCTCTCAGATTCTTCCTCAGCCTCTTCCTCATCGGCCACACCAAAACTGCGCTTCCGGCCAGGGGTAGCCTGGAGCAAGGAGAGTGTGTCAAGGTGAGGGAACCCTGTTCAGAGAGGAGATGGCATTCTTTCTCCTACCCAACATGACTCAGAACACAAGGCACCAGTGCCTGGCTTAGGCACTCACAGGGACCTGTGTCTAAGACTCAAAGCTATTATGGGAAGCTCTCCAGTCACCACCTCTCTTCCCTTCACCTGTCTGATGCAAGTTTTGATCACCTTGAAATACGATGACCACTAATATAACCACCCAGGTAGTCACAGGCCCGCCTACCTATGCCCACCATGTGAAGCCAGTGAGGTGACTCAAGTTCAGAGGAAGCAGAGAGGCTGCCTGGATGGGAACCGAGTTCTAACCAGAAGCCAACTTGCTCTAGGCCCCTGTCCCAGCCCTGCTGGCCATCTAGATTCCCTCTCCTGGTAGGCCTCTGGTAAGCTGTAGCCGGGTGATGGCCACGGCTCCCCCAGCACTATTGGGCACTGCAAGACCCCATTCCCACACCACTGAGCAGGGTCAGGGAGGTTAAGAGGAAAAGTGGCTCACCGGAGAGAGTTTATTGGGCAGCTCTGGCTTCTTGACCACTGGAGACTTAATGGCCCTGGGGACAGGGATCTCCTGAGGGATCTTGGAGTTGGGCAGTAGAGATGGCAATGGTGGCTGCACTAGAGGGGTGGGCACAGCCCTGACTGGAGTGTTTGCAGCCTTTCGGGGGGCCCTGGGTGGCAGCAGCTTGGATGTGCTGGCTTCCTCCTGGGCTGTCAAGGCAGGAGGCTTGGGGGCACTGCTGACAACAGAAGCTTTCCGCAGCTGGCTGGCTGGCCGAAGAGTTGGAGAGGGTGGAGGTCTGCTTGGGGCATTCTTGATCACAGCAGGTAAAGGGGGTGAGCGAGGACGCTGCAGTCTACGTGCAGGTTCCTGAAAAAGGCCCAAAGGATGAGAACACTGACACTAGCCTGAGACACCTGTGGGGATGTCCTCTGTCCCCTAGGACCTACCTCAGGGGCAGGTCTGGTAGTCACCTTCAAGGGTAATTTCTTCAGATCAGCTTGGGAACGGATGGGTGTGGTTTTCTGCAAGGCAACAAGATGATGAAGTCCAAGTCAACTCTTTTATAATGCCCATTATATGTCTGGGATTGTGGGCAAATAAAGTCCTATTCTTAAGTGGTCTCCCACTCTCACCAGGAATATAAAAACTGCACACACACTAAGCCACCAACAAATTACAGAATGCCTACAGAGTCTTGGTGTGTTGCTGCTGGAAAAGCATTGGACTGCTAACCCCAAGGTCAATGGTTCAAACCCACCAGTCACCACATGGAAACCTTCTACTAGAGGGATGGGGAAACATCCGGAATGAGGGCCATGTCAGGCCCTAGAAACCATTTGGTCTGGCTCTGCCAAGGCAAGCACAGTTCTAGTCATCATATTTGTTCTTGTTGTTAAATGCTGTCAGGTGGGTTCCAACCCATAGCAACTCTGCATAAAGTTTTCAACGAGACATCACATTAGGAGTGAGTTAATTAAATGTTTCGGACTCTTGGTGTGGCCCTGTGGGTTAATGCACTGGACTGCAAAGTCAGTTTGAACTGAAAGATTGGTAGTTCAAGCTCACTAACTGCTCCTCGGAAACCGTATACAGGGTCACCATGGGTTGGAACTGACTCAACAGCACTTAATAACAACAACAATTAAATGTTTGATCATATTGTTGTTGTTAAGTGCCGTGGAGTCGGTTCCGACTCATAGCGACCCTGCACAGGGTTTCCGAGGCTGTAAATCTTTACGGGAGCAGAACGCCTCATCTTTCTCCGGCGGAACCACTGGTAGTTTCAAACTGTTGACCTTGCGGTTCACAGCCTGATTCGTAACCACTACGCTACATATCATATATAGCTGGCTAATTTTTAAGTTGGTAATTTTGTATGGGCTGCAAATGATGTTATAAATTTTGGCAGAAAATATGTTCCCCACCCCTGCTCTTAGGGGACTCTATGAGTCAAAACCAACTTGATGGCACTAACAACAAAAACATATAGGGTCGCCAAGAGTTGGAATGACTCAACAGCTAGTTTTTTGGTTTGTTTATATAATTCAACACTTGAAACAATGGGAAAAGGTGTTGAATTCAAATTCTACATAAGAAGATGTCAAAATAGGTGGGAAAGGCCTACTGTGTGGAAGACAACTTGGGAGAGGAAAGGATAAATGGGATTCAGGGGGCAGAGAGGCCTGCGTAAGTCTGCAGTTAGAAAGAGTCACTGCACAGATAATAGAAGCGAGAAAGGAAAGTCTTTCACTAAATATGACAGAGAGCTGAGATCACAAATTTTAAAAGATGAAAACTGAGGGAAAAATATAATACTCGAACAGAAATGTTGATGAATAAGCAATTCTAAAAGCAATAATAATGGACACATGAAAAAATACTTCATCCCCAAAATATAAAAGAAACTCAAATTATATACAAGATGCCTATCTTTGTCTACTAAATTGGTAAAAACATTTAAAAATTATTGTACTCTCATATATTACCATTAAAAAAAATATAAGTGAATATATCTTCTGGAGAGTAAATTGAGATTATGTATTAAAAGCCACAGAATTTTGCAAACCCTTTACAATTTTAATAATCTCTGGATGGACTGCTAACAGAAAGGTCAGTGGTTTGAACCCACAAGCCACTCCTACTCCATGGAATTAAAGATGAGCCTATCTGCTTCCCTAAAGATTTACAGTCTCACAACATGATTTGTTTTGTTTTTTCTCTACCAATTTCACCCACAGAAAATTATCTGAAGAAACTAATTATGTACAAAAAATACACACACACACATCATGTATATAATATTGTTGTTGTTAAATATTGTCAAGTAGGTTCTGACTCAGTGACCCTGTAGAGGGTTTCCAAGGAGCAACTGGTGACTTTGAACTGCTGACCTTGTGGTTCAAATCAACCTTGTGATCAAGTGCTCATCCTATAGGGTCAAACCAGGGCTCCATATTTCTATTTTGAAATAAGAGTATTTACATGTATATAGGTATTCAATGAAAAGCTGGAAGGATAAAAAAGCATTAATGGTCATTACCTCTAAGAAGATTGGATTTTCATTTTCTGGAGTTTTAGAACATTCTAAATGAACTGAACCACTTGTTAATATGTAAACAAAACTTAAAAAAAAAAAAATTCCACCTGTAAGGTGGGAGTGTGAAGGTTTGGCAAGAATACAAGGGAGAGTGGAGGGTGAGCCTGAGGGAAAGGGGAGTCACTGAATCTGTTTGTATTGGCAAGACCCTGACACCCACTGGCTTTGACCACTACCCAACACTCCACACCTGAAGGGCCTCCAGCTTCTCCTGCTGTTGGCGAATTTTCTCCGTCAGCTGCTTCTGCTTCTCTTCCTGTGTCTTCAGGTCCTTTCTGAATGTTCCCAGGGGAACCTTCTGCTTCTGCTCAGAAGCCTCACACCTGTCGAGGGAAAGTTCTAGGGAGACTGTGGCAAAAGGGCTGCACCGGTAGGGCACGGAGCTTCCCCCTCAGCTGGAACAACCACTGCAATTCCCAATGGCGTGGAGTTGAGATTCACTGCAGTATGGCCATCTAGGTGTTTTCTTGGGCACCTGTTAACCAACTAGACTGAGATGAAGGGATACATATACTGACTATAAGAAACGAAGTGAGTTGTTACCATTGACCCCAAGAGTGACAAAAACACTGGGGGAAGGGAAGAAGTACCCACAATTCCCTTCGTTAGAGAAAGTACTCACCGGTCCTGCTCAGGATCAGGGTTCATGGAACAAACCCAGGTGTCAGGATAATCTTTCTCCACAGAACTCAGCTGGAAGGGGAGGGTCCGCCATTTCAGACATAAATCTGCAACACAGAAATCACCCCCACAAACGTCATCCACATCCCCCCATCAATATCTGTGATCTCAGCTTCTCACAACTAGACCCATAGCAGAGCTGTCCCAAATGTGCTATATAAAGATCTGTACTCTGGCTCCAACTCTGCATTTTCTTACAGAAGAGTGATTCTTAGAGACAGTGATTCCTACAAGAGGAAGGAAACTGTCTACTGTGGGCTCTCTGACTCCCAACAAGATCCCAGCTCAGTCAACCACTCATAGTACAAAGACCCAGTGAGGTCCGAGCAGCTAGATGACCTTTTGCCTCACTCCGGATGGACAGGCAGAACCCTAACAGTGACCTCACAGGTCCATCACCAAATAGCTCCTAGCGCTAGTGAGACTGGGAGTCCATCAATGTCATCACTGTTAGGAGGATAATGAACTATGATGGAAAAGAGGCAGGAAAAGTGGCCAAGGCCATAATTAAATAAGGAATTAAAATGAAGAAATTGAGACATATTAATCGAGAAATTAAATAAATGAGACACGGGGGAACCTGCGCATGAAGAAATTCATTGTTTTTGCAAATCAACAGTGAATTCTTTTCTTTTCTTTTCTTTTTCTTTCTCTTTGGATGGCAGAGCCACAAAGAGTTGTTTTATTATTTTTATGCACAGACCCCTAGTTAAATTTTTCTCTTGTTGAATTATTCTCTGATTTATTCATGATTTTATTAGTATCCCTTTTACTTTAGATTTTTTACTCTCCTACTCTTTAGTATATTTTCATTAAAAGTTAAAAGCCACACATTAGCTACATCTTATTCTACTTGTAATCATAGGTAGTTTTAATACTTATATTAACAATGTTCTTAAGACTGCTAGGAGACAGGATTTGTCAAATGAATTACTGCCAGCTTAGGTTTAGTGATTGTAAACATTCTTCCTTATAGCCTTAGTTTAAGGCAATAAAGAATCCTAAACGTGAATAGACCATAAATAAGTGCTGTGGGTACGAGAATTTCAAAAAAAATAATTAGACTATAGATAAGGGTTGTGAGAATCTACAGTTATATAAATAAGAAGTCTGATCAGTAAAATAGGGGAATTGTTTTGATAGCCTCAGCTTTACTGAGAAGGGATGTTTCTGTAGGAGGAAGTTAAGGAAGTGTAAATTGCACCTGACAATTAGGCTTGATGGCTTAAGATTTGACTAACAAAGGTCAAGAAACATGTAAAGGTTAACTTGCTTCTCAGAGAAAAGAACAGATTTATGTAGGGACAAATGTTTAACTAAAAGGTTTCAAGGCACCTGGAATGTCTCCTATGCCTTGAGATAATGTTTTTGCTGTAACTTCTCATCCCTGTTGTAAATTTAAGAATTGTAAACCATGAGGAATGTGCCACAAGATAGATTGTACCTTGATGTCATTGATTACTATGAATGCAATGTTTTCTGTAATGGTATATAAGGGGGTTGTAAGATAGAACAAAGAGGAAGGGAAGAAGTAGAAGAAAGGAAGAGAAGAAAGAAGCAGAAGTAAGCAGAAGTAGAGGTAAGTACGAATAGAGGCAAGAAGTAGAGGTAAGAGTAAGTAGAGGAAAGCAGAAGAAAGGAGTAGAAAAAAGGAGAGAGGTAAGAGATGTAGAGGCAAGAGGGAGAGAAGTAAGTAGAAGCAGAAAGAAGTAGGGAGAGAAGAAGGAATATGAAGTGGAGAGGAGATGAGACAAGAATGGAGGGAGGATAGAGGGAATAATGTAGAGAAGAAGCAGGGGAGTGGAGTAGTGAAAGTAGTAATGTAGATAATTAGGAGTAATAGTGTAGAAAGAAAAAGAATATGAGTAATGTAGAGAAGGAGACAGTAAAGAAATGGTAGGAGGGGAAGGGAAAAAAGAAACAGAAGAGATGAGCAGGAGGGGAGCAGGAGAGGAGAGAATGAAAGCAGGAGCAGGGGAGGGGAGAAAGGAAGCAGAAGAGATGAGCAGGGGAGTAGAGAATGAGCAGGACAGTAAAGAATGAGAGAAGTAGAGTATATTAGAGTAGCCATAGAAATAATAATAATAAAGCATGTAATAAGAAGATTTTGAATTTATCATGACCCATGACTCCGTGTAATCCTTATCGCCGACGTCCGCACCCGCCTTCAGAAAAAAACCCTGAAATAAGTATGCCGGGGCTGGCTCTTGGCAGAAAAGGGTGCTGACCACCCGGACTCACCACACTGGATGGTAGTCGGAATTTCCATAGCTCTTCGGCGTTTGTAACGCAGCTCACTGGATGGGGGCTGGTTCCAGTTGGCAGAGAGGTAGCCAAACTCATCCCAGAACTTGATAATTCCCCGCTGAGCTGAAAGATAAAGACCCACACATCAAGTTAGGAGCCCGGAGATGACAGTAACAAGGATGGACAGAGGCCCAGGCATGCAGCCCTGTTACCAATGGCGATGTCCTTCCAGTACTGTGCCAGGTGCTCCCCCATCGCCTTTAGCAGGTGTCTGTACTCCTTCGCATCAGCAAAGTCTTGCTTGTTGTGTGTAGGCTCCAGGACCAGGTAGGGCACATCAACGACCCCAACAACTCCACCACATGCCCTATAGGGAGATGCAGGAAACACAACTGTCACCCCTTGGTCCAAAACCATCTCACCATTGACCTTGGGCTGGAAGCTCTCCTTGGGCAGTACTCACATGCCCCCTTCTAATTGTGGGCCCACTTTTTCATACATCTTGATCAGGCGGCTACAGTTGTAGATAAACATGCCATCCAAGTCTCGGTGTTCAATATTGACCCCAAAAATGAAATTCAGTTCTTTAGGTTCTTTAAGTGCTCTGAGAAGAAAGCCAAAAAACACATTCAAGCAGATCCTTCCACTAGCACACAAACACCAGGGTGGTTAAAACGTGTTAAGCAAAACTTGCTTATCTCCATTCCATGTGCACCTGCCCTTACACTCAACAGGGAGGTGCACTTATGCAGTAACTCTAGGCATCCCTCATTAAAAGCTACCAACTTGGGCTTTTGGTGACAAAACAAGCATGGATTTAAGCATGAATGGTTACTATGAAGGTTTGTGGTACAATAAACACAGAATTATTACCAAATTTCCCCCCAAAATAGCAAATTAAAACAAAAATTCATGAGAAGAATGAAATTTGAGAGAAAAACACCATCATGGGAACAATGTCAATATATGGACTGACTGGCCCAGATAAACAGAACCAGAAACTTGCGGCTAGGAAAGGAGGCAACAAGAGCAGCCAAGCAATTCAAGCCCTGAAGGTCCAGCGGGCTCTAGAAGTAGAATGATTTAATAGCACACGAAAAATACTCATCTGGGTGAAAATAAAATGGCTACAAAAAATCTATAGCAGCAGTCCAATTTGTAATGGAGTGGGGGTACAAACAGGAATACAAATATAATTACATACAGAAAAAACTTGTTACATGCCATCAAGTTGGTTCCAAGTCACAGAGACCCTATATAGGGTTTCCAAGGGGTGGCTGGTAGGTATGAACCATAGAACTTGGCAGTTACCTGTCCAGTACTTATCCTACAGGCCACACCAGGACTCTATAGGAAATACTAGGGGCTTCAAAAAAAATAATGGAAATATGGGGGAAAAAAGATAATGGATTTTTCCACATACTTTTTGAAGCCCTCTTGTACATAAAAATTAACAATAGATATAACCAGGTGGTGGAGTCCTGGTGTGGCACTGGAGGATAAGCATTCGGCCACAGGGTCCATTGGAACCGCGAGACTGGAGGTTTAAACTCACAAGCGACTCCTCAGAAACCCTATATAATATAAGGTCACTATGAGTCGGGGCCGACTTGACAACACGTAACAACATCACTAGGTGGTAGAATTAAAGGAGAGTTTAAATTTTTTATTTCTTAAATGTTCTGTTTTTCAAATTTTATACAATGAGTATTTCATACATCTCTTTAAAATAAAAAGAACAAATGAGATACTACCAGTGAGGAATGTTTCAATGTTCAATTCTGGGTAGAGGCTGCCCTGTCCTTGCATGTTCCCAGCTTAGGAAACAGCTAGGAAGCTGGTATCTCTTCTGTAGGGAGTATGTGACAGGCATTTGGGGTCAAGTCAATGGTTGCTTTCTTTCAGCTCTCTTCATGTCAGAATGACAACCAGGAATGGGTCTCTCACTCTTTAATTTGGAATCGTCAAGACTCTACACAAGCACACTCACCTCTGCTTGGCATCCTTGATCCGCTTCTTGACATCAGCCTCCCTGCGCAGAGTGATGGCTGTGTTCTGCACCTGCCGCAACATCACCTGCAAATGCACAGCAGCATAAAAATGAGGGTGGAGCTATTTACAGCCCGAGCAAGGGACATAACATCCTCACCTAAAAGTCTTTGATTCCCATGGATACAAAAATCACACCTGGGGGTGGACTTCTTCCTATAGAAAATGATCTTCTCCCTGAGATTAACTCACAGCTGTGTTTCACTTCACTGATGTGAAGAAAGAAGAAACAATAGCCTAGGGAAGAGACTACCTTCAGGTGTGGTAGGCTCTGACAAAGTACCGCATATGACCTAGGACATGGGACTGAGTCTCTTGATGTTGCAGTTTCTCTAGCTGTACTGGAGGGCATCACAATGTCTACCTCAAATGGGTGTTGAGGCAACAGAATGATTAGTCAAGATTCTGGCAGACAGTGTGTTCACAAAGTGTCAGTGATTATGTAAACTTCCTAACTCCCCCATTTCTCTACTTTAAGTCAAGGTCTCCAGACTGGTCTGGGGATTGCTGGCATGCAGAAGAACAGCTGCGTGGGTCTGGGGCCTTACCCTGGAGTCCCGTGTGAGGTCTCCACCTAGGCGTAGTTCTAAAGCCCGAGCTTTACTTTCCGCCTCCCGTGCCTTGTCTTCAGCTGAATGAAACCCAGAATAAACCATGAGAAGAAATTCAGAGGTTCAAAAATCTTCACTATTCCTCAGGGCAGTCCTGGGGAAGTTCCCGCCCAACTGGACCACCTTCAAGACAAAGGGCAGCCTTATCCTGGCGATGCAATAAGAGCAACCTCCAAGTGCGGACTGCACTCTGCTGAAAGAAGAAAATCTGGCTTCTAACAATCTTTTAAGAAAAACTGGCACTATTTATACCTGAAACATGCCTTTTAAACATTCCTAATGAATCACAATAGGTCACAAAATGCCCAAGGCAAGCCTTTAGCATGGGCTGGAAGCTAAAGAAGTCCTCAGCCAATCACTCTCCATGAAGCAGCTTCAGGAAGTACAGGTTAGCACCAGAGGCTGGAGATTTTGCCCTGGAGTCAGAAAAAACCAATTTCACAAGTATTTGAGTCAGGGAAGACAGATTTTCCACTCTGGGCAAGCCAAGGAGTTACTACGCTTTTAAGATAATACCTATAAATGGCCTAAACCCAAAACCAAATCAAATCCATTGCCATAGAGTCAATCCAACTCACAGTGCACTGCTCCTTAGGGTTTTCAAGACTGTAAATTTTTATGAGAGCAGATAGCCTCCTCTTTCTTAAGCAGAGTGGCTGCTGGATTTGAATGGCCAACTTTTGAGATTAGTAGCCAACTTTGAGATTTGCCCCAGTGCCACCAAAACTCTTCACAAATGGCCTGGGATTAGGGAAGTAGTCTGAAGGGAAAGTACAGAGGGGACTGGCATGGGAAGGGCAAGGGACAGAGGAGAAAACAGATAATCCAAAACAGACTTGTCGCCTGGTGCTAGAAGTACTCTTTTCCTAGATTCTTAGCTTCTTGGTCCCCAGAAGACCTCCACCCAGGTCTCCTCATGCATTACCAATTCGCGCCACATGTTCCGCTTTCTTCACCTCCTGCTCTGCTCGGGTCTTGAAACGGCTCGACGTATACTTGTACATCCTGAAGGCCAACAAAAACATTCGATAAGGCATCACCATCAATGCCCACCTGGGCCTATGGCAGCCAGTGGACAGCAGACCTACCTGGGCTTGTAAAGGCAGCAGGAGAGCCTCTTGGTCTGCACCTTGTGTCCGTGAATGAAGATCCTCATCCGGGGATCAATATACAGAACAGCAGCATAGGCACGGAATGAGTGCCGCTCAGGCTTCCTGGAAGCAGCAGGAGCAGAGTGCTGTCACTCAGCCCTTGCCAAGTCCTCACCAAAACTATAGCATCCTCTCTGTAGGCCCTCATTGAGGGCTCCTTCAACATGATGCCACCCTCCAAGTAACCTCTTCCCCTAACGGTCCCCTGCACAGGTGGTTATTGTTGAGATCGGGGTTCCTGGCCTGACCACTACCCACTGCAGAACCCTGGACAATTTCTTTTCTCCTCCACAGGCCTCAGTTTCTTTATCCATCAACTGAAGAGTTGAAGCAGGAACCAGGTAATCATTATTCTTTTGGGTTAGCTGAGGATCTATTGTCTCTCTACTATAGTCTCTTGCCTTGTGGCAAGAGGACATAAGCTCCATCTGCTCTAGGTCTGGCCCAGGAGAAACCTAAAGAGTCTTCCCTTTCCCCTGAAATCACCTCCTGACTTTTCCTCCCCAAGAGAATCAAATCCTATTTCAACCTCCCTCCCTTCCCAGCTGTACTCACGTGCCCTCTGGGGAGGTCTCTGCCATCTGGATGTCTCTTGGATTTGAGATTATGTCTAGCTCCGGCTGTCCATTATCCATGAGTTTGAGATTAAAGATAATCACTAATGTTCCTGGGGAACAGAAATTCTGTCATTCACCAGGTGCCCATAACCCAACTCCACCCCCCACTGGTGACTCTGGAGCTCCTGGGTTCTGGGGCTGCAGACTTGAAGGCTACTTACCACTATCCCCAGTAATCTTCATGAACTGGGACATCACATCTTCTTCATTGTGAAATGGGGAGTACTTATAGATGAGTTCTGTCTCAATAGCAAACTTCTCCACATTGTCTGTGATTGGCTCTCGGGTCTTGGCATTCCAGGTGGGCAATGGGACAATCACCTGTGGAGTTAGCACAGGCAGACACTAGGAGAGAGGCCCCAGAACAGTCTTTTCCATCTATCTTCACTCCCTCCGTGGGATGCCCCCCGGCACCGAGGTGAGGCTCAAGTGCCTCAGCATGGAGGCACCAGAGGTTCTACTCTGGTTCCTAGCCCTCTTAGGAACTCTTGACTTCTCAGCCTCACATTGTTAGCACCTCTGGAGATAAAGCTGGCTTACGGTCTGGGTCTCTGCTTACATGGGCAATTCCCTCTGTGTGCAATGTATCCAGCCATCTTCTTAATTTGGTAAAAACCCTCCTTTTGTTGTTGTTAGGTACTGTGAGCTGGTTCTAACTCATAGAGATTCTATGTACAACAAAATGATACTGCCTGGCCCTGTACCATCCTCACAATTGTTACTATGTTTGAGGCCATTGTTGTAAACATGGTGTCAATCGCATTGCTGAGGGTCTTCCTCTTTTTCAATGACTTTTTACTTTACCAAGGACTAGTACCTCCTGATAACATGTTCAAAAGTATATGAGACCATTCTCAGCCCCACCATTCTCGCTTCTAAGGAGCATTCTGGATGTACTTCTTCCAACACAGATGTATTCGTACTTCTGGCATTCCCTGGTATATTTAATATTTTTGCCAACTCCATAATTCAGACATCAATCTTCTTTTGTTTTCCTTGTTCAATGTCCAGCTTGAAAATATCACGGATTGGGTAAAGAGTACCTTAGTCTTCAAAGTGACAAGCTTTGCTTTCTAAGACTTTTTAAAATTTTTTTTATTAAGAGGTCTTTTGTAGCAGATTTGCCCAAAGTAATACATTCTTTGATTTTCTGCCTTTTGCTTCCATGAGTGTTAATTGTGGATCCAAATATGTAAATCCTGACATAAATTCTCCATTTATCACGGTGCTGCTTATCGGTCCAGTTGTAAAGAGTTTTATTTCCTTTAGGCTGACGTGTAATCTGTATTGAAGTCTGTAGTCTTCGGTCTTCTCATCAGTAGGTGCTTCAAGTCCTCTTCACTTTCAGCAAGCCAAGTTCTGTCATCTGCATACTGGAGATTGTTAATGAGAGTCTAACTTCTTGGATTCTTTGTTTAGGATAATAGATTGAATAAGTCTAATGAAAGAATATAGCCTCTTTATCTACATACAGGTTCCACATAAGTACAATGTTCTGGAATTCACATTCTTTGCGATGATATCCACAGTTAGGATCCACTCAGTTTAATAGCCTTTGCATAGTCAAAATAGGTACATGTCTTTCTGGTATTTTCTGTTTTGACTGATGATATTGAAATTCTCCATCATCTCTTTTCACAAATGTAGTCAATTTATTATTACTTCTGAAGAGGTTCATGTGTACAGTCACTATTTAGTTGTAAAAAATGTATTTGTAATGATTAAGTTGTTGGTCTTGCAAAATTCTATTATCATGTGAGCTCAGGCATCATTTCTAGCACCAAGGCTAGATTATCTAACTGCTGGTCTTCTTTGATTCCAACTTTCACATTCATCCCAATCACCAGTGATTATCAATGTATCTTGACTGTATATCTAATCAATTTCAGGCTGCAGCAGTCGGTAAAAATCTTTAATTTCTTCATCTTTGGGGTTTGGGACTGGTGCATAAATTTGAATTATATATTAACTGGTTTTCCTTGTAGGCATACATATCACTGGCAGCATTGTATTTCATAATAGATTTTGAATGTGATGCCATTCCTCTGTTATTTCTGACATAGAAGATCATATGATTGTCTGATTCAAAAAGGTTAATACCACTCAATTTCAACTCACTTATGCCTCAGATATTGATCTTTGTGCATTCCATTTCATTTTTGACAACTTTAGCTTTTCCTAAATTCATATTTTATACATTTTCCATTACAACTAATGGATGTATACAGCTGTTTCTTCTTATTTTGAGCAGTGCCTCATCAGCAAATGAAGATCCCAAAAGCTTTGCTCCATCCACATCACGAAGACTGACTCTACTTTGAGGTGACAATTATTCCCCTGTTGCATCTTGAGTGCCTTCCAACCTGAGGGGCTCATCTTTGAGCACTATTATTAAACAATGTTTCGCTGTTACTCATAAGGTTTTCAGTGACGAAGTTTCCTGAAAATTGTCCAAAAGTGGACAAATTTTTTCCTTCCTCCTAATCTGTCTTAGTCTGGATGCTCTGCTGAAACCTGCCCTCTACAGGTGAGCCTGTTGGTATGTGAAGTACTGGTGGCATAGCTTTCAGCATTACAGCAACACATAAGCCACTGTGGTCCTCTTGTTGTTGTTGTTAAGTGTCATCGAGTCGGTTCCAAATCATAGCAACCTTTTATAGGAGTGTTTAAGAGGTGGTTGGTGGGTTTGAACTGCCAACCTTGCAGCTCAAACTGACCTTGCAGTCCAGCGCATTATCCTGCAGCGCTACACCAGGACTCCTTGCCACTAAGGAAAACATATCTGCAATTGCCTAGTGAATCTGAAGATACACATGACCTACAACTCAGTAATACCATTCCTCAGCTCAGTAATCCCAACTCCACTCTTGGAAAAATGTTTATACATGTGCACCAGCATACATGTGTAAGAATACACTGTAACACTAGATGTGATAACCCAAAGTGGAATTAACCCAAACATTCACCACAGAGTGGATAAAGTATAATATTATTTACAAATTGCAATTACTATGTAATGATAAAAATAAAAACTAACACCTACTAGCATCAACAAGATGAATCTCACAAACACAAAGTTGCATGCAAGAAGATTGGAAAGAAAAAAAAAAGGTTCACTTATTTAAATTCATAAACAAAACCAAACTATTATTTAAGGATGCATACATAAGTGAGAGAAGTATTTAAAAAAAAAACAAAACTGGTCATCATAAAAGTCAGTAGTTTCCTCAGGGGCAAATGAAGGATATGATAGGTGTCAAAGGATTTTCTAAAGTGAGTCTGTGATGCAACATTTCATTTAACCCATACGGTGGCTATATGAGTGTATGCTTTATAATTATTCCTTCAACTGTGCATATATTTTAATATGTTCTTCCATATGTATAATAACTGTCTTCATTAAAATGAGTTTTTAAAAATCCTACTCTTTCTTCAAATGTCACTTCCTCTGAAGCCCCCTCAATATGTTCCTCCCTCTTCACTAGAGCCAGCAGATGGCTCAAGGTGCCCACAGAAGGCTAAAGAATTCCCTCTGCAGACTGGAGGCCCCTCAGAGCCTCAAAACAGATAGCCCACCTCTAGGAATCCTTTATTTTAATGAATTTCAGACTGAAAACTGGTAAGGGTTCTGACATATTTGGCTGGTTTCTGAGTAGCTTTGTGCTGACAGTATTCAACCCCAGGGCTGGTTTGGAATTCCTCTCTAGCTGAAAATGATCTTATTTTGAAATCTTGGCTGAGTTTACACCAGAGTACAATCCAAAACAGTGACCACCTTCTAGTACCAAGTAAGGAAAAAAACTTCAATCTAGCTTTTCCACCCTAGTAGTGTAGTAGGTTATGAGTTGGGCTGCTGAATCCCATCTGTGTCAGTGAACCTCACTTGACACCTCCCATTTTCACAGCAGTCCCAGGTGACAAGGTATCACTTTTATGAATACTCACTTGTCATAGGTACCCATCCTCCAATCAAAATGCTTCTCCCTCTGCATCAATGTTACTGGACTCCCCTGGTTTTCCTCTTCTCTTTCCGGCCACTCCTCTGTCTCCTTGGCCACTTTCTCTTCTCCCTAACCTTTAAACACTTAACGTGTCTAAAGTGCCAGGTCTGGGTCTTTCTCTACTCCCTTAGGAGATGTCCCTGACATGTACAGAATAACTTACACTTGCCCCTCCACACCTGCCCTTTCTTCCCTAGATCCAAACAGCCTACCAGTCCCATATGGCCCTATCTTCCCTGTATCCTTCACCAAATCTGTGGGTTCCACATCCTAAAGAAATCATCTGAGTCCATTTCTCTCCACCTCCCTGCTATGAGTCCAGGTCACTTACACACAGCTAGGGCCTCTCAATGGATTCACTCTACCTCCAATCTTTCTTATGTGGTCATCACAAACTGATCTTTATAAAAGAAAGCCTGGTACTTCCATACTGTTGCTTAAATTCCTTTTAATGGCTGCTTCTCACTGCTCCTTTGATAAAGTCCTTCCCTGCTCTCCAGACCCACCACCACCTGCCCCCCAGGTGCCAAGTTCTCTTTTACATCCCTCATTCTACCCTCAGAGCCTCAGATATGTTTTCTTCTCACTACACATTTTCCTCCCACCACCACTCTCAATCTCTTCTCTCCAGCACTGGCCTCCATTTCTCAGGTGTGAGGGCAATAAGAATCCAATCTGAGGCTAGGCAGGCTACAGGCTTCCCCAGACACCCCCACTGAGGTGACACAGATCACACCAGAACAGCTGGCAGACATCTAAGCCACCAGTCCACAAAGAGAATCATCTGAATGCATGTATAGTTTACACAGTATATTACCATAATCTTTTAAAATCAGAATATTCTGAATTCATTAGGCCTTGCTTTTGATACTGAAATAATAAAGAACTGCTTCTTAGAAGCTGCCACTCCCAACATGAGGCCAAGTGTCAGGTGCCATTAAACAACCAGTTTGGTGGTAGGGGTGGTAGTGATGTGTCGGGGAGTCAGTTCTGACTCATAGCAACCCTGTATAGGGTTTACAAGGCTGTCGATCTTCACGGGAGCTGCATGCCTTATCTTTCTCCCGCTGAGTGACTGGTAGTTTCGAACCGCTGACTTTGCAGTCAGCAGCGCAATTCATAATCCACTACACTACCAGAGATCCTAAAACAGTCAGTTTACATGGATGCTTTTTCTGTGCTCACCTGCTTTACTACCTACCTGGACCCTCCTGTAGGTGTTGGATTCATAACTTCTGATATAGGCAGTTAGAGCAATGCATTTTCTCAAAAGGAAAAAGTGCTCATAGCACATTGCACAAAATCGCTCTCCTACAGGAAAGACCAAAACCCAAGCCAAACTCACTGCCATTGAGTCAATTATGACTCACAGCAAATCTACAGGACAGAGAACTGCCCCTTTGGGTTTCTGAGGCTATAAATCTTTACAGGAGCAAACAGCCTAATCTTTCTCCCATGGAGCGGCTGGTAGGTTCAAACTGCTGACTATGTAATTAGCAGCACAACACTTAAACCACTATGCCACCAGGGCTCCATAAGGGAAAGACAGTGACAGTGCTGTTGCTGACTGTAGCCAGGGAAGCCCAAAATATCCCTCCTGGTAAAGCAATGCCCCACGGTGATACCCCAGCTGGAATTCAAGCTGCTGATTTAGGAGCTCCTTGAATCCAACTCTTGACTTTTATCACTTGATCGTTTCATGCTCAGAACAAGATCAGCTTTTCTCTGAAGTGCTCTGGGGTTTCATTTCCTCTTATAAGACCTACCTTAACCCTTCTACCAATTCATTCAACCAGTTAATTCCAGAAAGGGGCATGTGCTCTAATCCCATAGCCCCAGAAAGCTCAGCTGTGCAAATGACCTATGAACACAGTCTTGGTAGACCCAGGAAACGGAGTGACCAATCATTCGGCCATGAGGGTGGCACCTACTTCATCAATGCCTTCCTCCTCATGAAAGGTGCGAGACAGAAAGAGGCAGGTCATAGTGTCTTCCTTCTTGGTGAAAAGGATAAAATCCTTCCCAATTCGCATTGAGCCCCTGAAAGGCAAGTAGAAACAGATTATTCTCCCAGTGATCCAAAAATTCATCTGACAAAGTAAAGGCCATCCTATGGTCATGACTCGAAAATGCCTTTGGAGGGCCCAGGACTTTCGGCTGAGTTCCACAGCCCTATTCCCTCCCTACTCATTGACACTCTTACTTTTGCTCTTCCAATGATCTGCATTTCATTATCCTTTACCTATAATATTCTTCACCACCCTCAACCACTGTCATGTTTACCACTAGTCGATTTCCATAATGTGAACAAATAACACTCTTGTGGGTCATGCAGAGACAGGTGGACCCTCATCTATGCAGTCATCAGATTCAAACGGCACACCATCGAAGGAATATCCCAGTGTCTACATCACAAGTCCTTAAAACAGTACAGACCCAAGGCTCAGTCCAACGTAGAAACCAATCATACAAAATATAACTGTTGACCAGAGTATTTGAGGAGGCCTATAAATTAACTGTAGGACAAGCACTGGACTATTAATCAGAAGATTGGTTGTTCCAACCCACTGGCTACTCCTTAGAATCACTATGAGTAGGCACCGATTCTATGGCACTTCTAACAACAAAGTATAACTAGCTCAAGTCCTAGATACAGTTAAATTCTCAGATGTTACTCAAAAGATTGGCATTTAAAACCCATCAATCGCTCCATAGGAGAAAGATGTGGCAGTCCATTTTTATAAAGATTACATCCTTGACAACTATGGTATAGTTCTGCTCTGTCCTCTGGGGTTGTTATGAGTCGAAACCTACTTGATGACACACAGCAACAAAGTTACTCACATGTAAATCACTGGAGCCATCTTCAGTCTCAGAATTGCTTTTGTCACTTCAAGTTCATTTTGACAAAGGCAACTGGAAACAACCAAATGACAGTTTCTGGGAACTGTGCTTTGAGGTTGCCTTCCATGAGGCAAAACTCTGAATGAAATCGTTTCCTTCCTCTGTTTGGCCAGGGTAAACCATCCAACGAGCAGGCAAGGACAGGCCTCTCCCAGGCAGCAGAGCAGTGTGAAGCCCTACTGGGAGGGCTGCCCACTTAACAAGCTCCTTTCTTCCAAGCAGCTTCTGGAGTTTTATGGCTATTATCTCATTAGTCCTCATAATGCCCCAGGGACATGAGGGAGGTGGGAAGTCCTATTATTCTCTTTTCTGTACAAATACAAACCCACTGGCAGGCCAAGTACACAAAGGAATGTCCTGCCCCATTTCCACAAACTCCCAGAAATACCCAGGGGACTGCCAAATCTTATTCCTCCTCCTTCCTCCCTGAAACTCACAGGGCAGCAAAATAATGCAAAAGGACCCTATCTTCTAACAAAGCTTGTTCGTGCCCTAATTTGGCAAAACCTCTCACTTTCTGCCTCCTTTGCCCCTGTTCTTTGGGAAGGTAGAATTTGAACCTTAGTTTGTTTGAGTCACTCAAAACCTCAGGCCAAGAATACCAAGAACCCAAACCACCACCTTTCTTTTGAGCCTTATTTTCACCACAAAATACTTTCTCCTAGAACCCCTTTTCCACTTAAGTTGGTTTCTAAATGTTTACTCTGAACACTAGATGGCTCCACCTCCCAAGGGCCCATTGCACAAATCACATTAAAGCATGCTAACACCACCACTCCCAACTTCATACACTTTCCGTCCTGGGCGTCTAAGCACTTCCAGTCACTTACTTCTAAGCACTTCCAGTCACGTAACTGTAACAACTTCTGAAGGAGACTGCCAGAGCTTAAAAACCTGTTTTTTAGATGAGGTAAAATGGCTTGCCCGAGGCTACAGAACTGGGAAAATCAGGTAGCGCTATGGGTCGGAACCGACTCGACGGCACGTAACAACAACAACAACATGTCCTGGTGTGGCGCTGTGAGCTAATGTGTCAGACTGCAAATTCATTCGAACTGCAAGGTCAGTGGTTCAAGCTTACCAGCTGCTCCTTGGAAACCCTATACAGGGTCACTATGGGTCAGAATCGACTCAACGACACTTAACAACAACAACAACAATCCAGGTAGAAAGCAGTGTTTCTTACATCACATGGATATAACACTGTCAGACTACCCAATAAGCAAGATAAGCATGGGGTAAGTTGCATTTACTTATGTGACAGAGCAAACTATAGTATAGTAAGCAAAGTAAGTCCAGACTTACTAATCTGTAGTGAACAGTTTCACATGGGTTGCACACTGGTGATGATGCTGGTGGTTGTATGCTGTGGAGTCAGTTTCGACTCATAGTGACCCTGTATAGGGTTCCCGAGGCTTTAAATCTTTACAAAAGCAGAAAGCCTCATCTTTCTCTCAAGGAGTGGTTGGCAGATTTGAACTGCTGATCTTGCTGAGTTAGTAGCCTGGCTTGTAATCCATTACACTACCAGGGCTTCAAACAGTAGTGAACAGTCTCACATGGGTTGCTCACTACAGATTAGTAAATAAACACAAGGAAGCAGCTCAAGTTACCCAGCTTACTGCATTGCCAACCCCTGACTCTGTAATACCCCAGAGCTACTGAGGACTTACATCACTTGCATCAGAATCACCTGCGGAAACTGGAAAGAATACAAATTCCTCGGCCTTTCCCTAGACCCAGTGAACCAGGCCAGGATTCAGCTATGGGAAGACGAAAGTTGTCATTATTGTTAAGTGTCATTGAGTCGGTTCTGATCCATAGCAACCCTGTATAGGGTTTCCGAGGGGTGGATGGTGAGCTTGAACCACTGACCTTGTGGTCCAAATGAATTTGCAGCCCAGTGCATTAACCCACAGCAGCACATGTCTCCATGAGAAGACAGAAGTAGGAAAAATCAAATTAGAAGCCAGAAACTGTGCTAGGGGCTTAATCCTTAACCTGTGTGGTATGTATTATAATCCTAAACTTATAAAACAAGAAACTAAGGCTCAGAGGGTGAGGTGTAATTAAGTGGCTGACATAGAATTTGAACCTTAGTTTGTCTGATTCAAGAGAAATGTACAGCAACTCAAAGCTCTGAAGTCAAAAAGAACTGATTCCTACCTTAGGCTCTATGTTTCTACATTTTTACACAGAAATCTCACTCCTACATCCCTGTTTCTTCATTTGAAAACAGGACTAACAGCACTCACACCTCAGAGTAGTATCTGTGATTATTGTTAGCTGCTGTGTCAGACCCCTGACTCATGAGGACTCCATGCACAACAGAACTAAACAATCAGTTGTAGGGTTTTCATCAGCTGATTTTTCTGAAGTAGATTTTCAGTTATGAAATCTATTCAGCATCATAACAATATGCAAGTCTTTACTAACAAACATTTGAAGGCTCTGTGTGAGCTGCATTGACAAGAATCAAACCCAGGTCTTCTGTGTGGAAGGCAAGAATTCTACCACTGAACTACCCCCTGTGCCCCAAAAGGCTACTGTTACTGTTCTGTGCCCTTAAATCAATTGTGACTTACAGTGCTCCCATGTGACACAGAACTGCTCTACAGGGTAACTGCTCTAGGCTGTAATCCTTAGAGGAGCAGATTGCTAGGTCTCTCTCCCATGGAGTGGTGGATGGGTGGAGTTGAACTCCAAGCTTTAGTTAGCAGTTGAGCACTTAATTGTTGCACCACCACCAGTACTCTTTTCATAAACACATAAACCAAATCCAATGCCATCGAGCTGATTCCAACTCAACAACCCTGTATAGGGTTTCCGAGGCTACAAATCTTTACAGGAGCAGAAAACCTCAACTTCCTCCCAATGAGTAGCTGATGGGTTTGAACTGCTGACCTGGCAGTTAGCAGTCCAGTACTTAGCCTACAGTGCCACCAGGGCTCCTTCCATAGGGCTATAAAAAACAAAACCAAAACCAATGCCATTGAGTCAATTTCAACCCATAGTGACCCTTTAAGACAGAATAGAACTGTTCCCTAGTGTTTCCGAGGGTTAAATATAGTGAGGATAAATGAGATCATCCCTGTCAAGCTTTTAGCAGTGCTTGGCACAGAGTGAGTGTTTATTATTTTCATTTGATTCCTACACTAAGAGATAAATTGCAAAGGTCTTGATTTCTTCTCCACACATGTGGCCCAAGTGATACTGCTGACCACACCACAACCACCTCTCAGACAAAACACTTTGCCACAGCAAGATTAGAAACGTGACTCATAGTTCCAATTGTATAAACTCCAATTCCACTACATCTTATTCCATCCAAAGGTATGTGCAGCTGGAAGTGAGCATTTCAGAAATAGAAACCTTTCTCTTGGGGCTTCACTCAAAACCAGAACAACACATTCCTAACACTAAACAAGTGGGAACCAAGAGCTGAGAAAGAAGTCCAAGGGATCTGAAGACATTCGGTAGGTCCCTGCTACAGGGCCTTGTACATCATCTTCATGGAGACCATGTCCTTAAGGAGGAAGGGCTCCCATCTCCCTCAAGTCACCACTGCATCCCCAGCACCTGGCCCAAAGCAGGACATGAGGGACAGGTACCCACGGTACCCACACATTCCAATGCCACAAAGAACCATTAACATTCTCAACGACCAGGTGAAAATAAAAATTTTGAACAGAAGGAGGAACACAGTTCCAGAGATTAGTGCCAAGAGAAACCTATATATACAACCCCTCTCACACCAACTAGTTTTAGACATTCAGAATCTTTACTATGTAATACAAACTCTGCTAGACAACAGCCCCAAACGATGACTCCTTTCTGGGATTCCTGCTGTTCTACAGTCAGCCGTGAAAGGAGATGAGGAGGGTACTTTCCATCAGTTAGGAGGAAAACATTACATGATTTGGAGTCTTCTGACAGGCTTCTGTTATACCTACGATTTTAGCCCATTCCCATACTGCCCAATCTGGGTGGACTCAGGCGTTCGCTTAGCCGATTTCCCAAACTGGATCACACTGGCAGCATCACCTGAAATGGCAGATACAAAAGAAAGCACAAGGTTTGCATTTCTGTCCTAGGCTCTTCAGCTTGCTAGTCTTATTGTGTGTCTGCTGAAAACATCCTGCTAAGGAAATGCACAACCATGAGATATAATGGACACCACCTCTGCCTGGTCTGTCAGTATGTCCATCCCTTTGAGCTGTGATTCTGTTACCAGAATATAGTCATAAGGCTGAGGGAGGCCTCTATAGTTCCAGCTCCAGGACATTTAAGCTGGTGAATACAATGTCAAGAGACAGGTCATCTGATAGACTTGGGGTTGCCAATCAAATTCAATCTCCCAGACAAGACCTGACAAACACACTAGTGGAATTAAGTCTGAACTGCTGCAACAGACTTCCCTCTCTCTTCTAGTTATACCAGTGAAGCAACAGATAAAAACATGTTTATACCATAGGATGGCAGTATTTTATTAAAATGGTCATACCCTCCCCCCAAAGCATAGCCTTGTCACTTACTGGAATCCATTCCTGCGCCATCATCCAAAAAGCAAAGCATGAATCCTCCTTGAAGGTCTTCTCTTTTCTCTGTAAAAGATGCATTGGCCATTACCAAGTAGTACCAGTCTGTACTACCAAACCAGTGTGACAGGAGACAAAAGGGTATGTTCAGAAGGTGGATCAATGTAAAGCTTGGTCCAAAAAGGCTAAGCTAAACAAGTATGAGTTAAACTTAAGGGGTCCTTGAGGGTGGAGTTCCCCATCTAATAATGTTCTCTAATGTTCAGGACAAATCTTGGGAAACTTTCTAAGATGGGTAGGGAATATCTGGCTCAGCATTTATCCACACCCAAGACCAATGAATATAAACATATTTCACATACACATGTCCCATCCTTCTGCCTCTATCCACCTGGGTTACTACCACCTGTGCCCTCTGCCATGGTGCCCTAAGCCACTCAAGTACCTGAACTACACTATACACTACGCAAAAAGTGCTCACACCTCCTTTGACAATTTGGAATAGCTTTCAGAGTAAAATGATTAAGCCCAACATGGCATAAACAGAATGGTGGCAGTTGCTATCTAGAGGATGAATGTCTACGTCCACATGTGACCATCTCCAGGCTAACTGCAGTTTTCTGGGCTACTTGTATTCATCATCTTATTTCTGGCTTGCATTCATCCCAAGAGTGAAACGATGTTACAGGTGAAGGGAGAGCTGCCTGGTTCCCAGCTGAACCTGCCTGAGTAGAAGAAGGCACAGTTCTCTGACAGTAAGGCTGGGGCAGGACTTCCTGGCCTAGAGGAAAGGACCATGATAGACTATGCTGTCATTCCAGTTGACCTAAAAACCTCTTTTTTCAGTAGCTCTCTCTTCCACAGTACCAAGTAGATATGCCTGTAATAGATGTTGGTGAAGTGATCCTCAAATATACTAGATGGGGCTCCAAATATACTAGATTTTGGTCCACTGAGGAGTAGGTGGGCAAAGGAGAACCGCACTAGCCTTAGAATCAGCAGCCAATAGACATGAAGGAGAGAAAGTAGACAGAGGCAAGAGGATCCACCACTGCAGTCCCACACAAGCCAGGCAAGGAAGCGAAGCACTAAAATCAACATCACTACAATACGCCCTGTCCATTTATTAGCACAAGGGATAAAAGCACTTTTTCTAGGACGAAGGTTGTCTGTGTAAGGTACAAGCTGTGTAGGGAGGGACAAGCTCAAGGCCTGCACCATAACTGAGGCTATCTTTTAAATTCCTCCAAACTGCAGTTCACCAACTCAGTACAACTTGTCGAAGCTGGGGAACTTTAGTTTACAATCTTCTTTGCCCTTTCTGCAGGCTAAAGATTCAAGTGGATTGTGACTGCCTTCTGTTAAATGGACACATTAAAGTAACTTAAAATGCTATTTTAGAAGAGCTAGAAACCAGAGATTTTCAAATATCATTCAGTGTTCAAAAGCTGAACTTTGCTGAAACATTAATAAGTGGTTCTTGAAAGTTCAAGGGGCAAGGATCTTCCTTCCTGGAAGTACTATTGGTGGACAGAACAATGTCTCCTTAATTTAAATGAGATATGGCAATCCAGATACAAGTGCAAAAGGCATCTAAGTTTCCTTCTGGAGGAAGTGAAGAGTCATATGGAGATTCAAACTGGGTCTCACATACTGGTCCAACTGGTTCCAACTCATAGCAACCCTGTATAGAGTTTCCAAGGCTTTAAATCCTTATAGGAGCAGAAAGCCTTCTCTGGTGGAGCTGTTGGTAGATTCAATCCTTGTGGTTAGGGACCCAACACTACACTACCAGGGCTCCTACCAGAGGATGGTAAAAGTCATATTCTAAACCTAGCTGAGGTCTATTTGCTACATGCTACAGTCATAAAATGCACCAAGAATATTTGATAAACCACTGAGGATAACTAGCATTTCCTAAACACTACTTAGGAAGTTGCTTCTTACGTTCAGATAGGACTCTCAGGATGTTTTAGCACATGCACAACACTTTATGGTGGTCTGAGCTCTCTTTTCAGCTCAACTCCTTTATTTCAAAGCCTTTTTGTGTAGGCTATGAGTAAGAGACCATAGAAAGATGTTTCTTCACCTGAGGGACAAGGAATCTTTGTAACTACATAGCAACTTGTAAAAGGACAGTAGAGTCTGGGTCCAAGATCACATGCACTCTCACCTTAAGGCCAAAAGAGATGGGCTGGCACAACAGTAACTTCATGTTTATAAACAGGTGGAGTATCTTCATATGGCTACAATGTTTGTCCCTACCCCTCATTAGGAATGTTTATTGAGCCCCTCCTGTGTGCCAGGGTTTGTGATGGGCAGGATGGACACTGTGCTGCTGTCCTCATGGAGATCAGTCTAGTGGACTCGTAAGTCTACTCTCCTGTAGCAGACCAGGTAAGACATAAAGGATAGGAGGGTTTAAGTTGAAGGGGTCTGAAAAAAGTATCCGCTAGAGTCAAATGTGGTATCCTGGTATGGTGTGGTACAATAAGCACTAGACTGCTTGCTAACCATGGTTCAAACCCCACCAGCTGTTCCTTGGAAACCCTATACAGGGTCGCTAGAAGTCGACATAAGAATTTATTGAAGTACAGATTCCTGGGCTCCACCTTCAGAGTCACATTACAGAGGCTACAATAAAATGTCATCCAAATTTTTGACTGCACTCTGCAAACGTCTGAGCAGTATTCATTTCAGTTACATTTCCTTGGATTAATTTGCCACTGACTAACTTAATCACTGCTTTGGTTCCCCAAAAGGGATCTTTCTTCTAGGAGGCAGAACTAAAGTCAGTAGAAAGAGCTTACAGTCAATAGAAAGGCCTATGATGATCTGGCCCCACATAATAACAATGCATTGGGTAAGCAAACACCTACCTAATAATCAGTCCACTCATGGTGCCTCAGATCGCCTGGCCATCTACTTCTGAAAAGTCAGTTACTGAAAACCCTATGGAGCACAGTTCTATTCTGACACACATGATTGAAAAACAAACAAACAACTGAGAGGTGGGCTCTCTTTTTATCTTTCTGAAGTTTAAATACAGTCTTTGAAATGTGACTTTGTAGTGACTTCAAAACTATATCCAATGTTTGAGATTTTCCAGGTTAAGAATCATCCTAGTTTCAGGATGGGAAAGAGAGAAATCATTTCCCCCACATATCAACAAGAATTTCATGATTTTGCTTGTGAAAAAAGATCACTGTTCTAACACTTGTTGAATGTTAGTAAGGCACAGAGCTAGAAAACAATAAGGTATAGACCCAATCCAGAAAACTCAGCCAAGGTATCTCCAAGCTCTAGATGTAGAATTTAGTCTTTTTCCAAAACCTGTGGTGCTTAGTTCTTCACCATGTAATCGCTAGCTGCCTTGACTGTTCCCTCCAGATCTAGTTATTGTTCTCCAATCATCTCTAGAATGCTAATTGTCTCTCCAATTAGAGAGAAATTGTCAGAGTGAAGGCCCATCTGATTCCTCTAGGATTTCTCCCAAAGCCTGATGGGCACTGAGCACAGAATAAATGCACACTGGGGCTTTTCCTTTTAAATTAAAATCCAACTGTTTTTTTGCTTTCTGAGTATCAAGGACTAAATTTTCTCTCTGAAACTCGCATACCAAAGGCAGGAGGTGGGGGAGAGAGCAGAAAAGATCTTTTTTAAAAATGTCTTCCAAGCAGACTTGAGTACTATGATTTGTTTCTTTGACGACACATGGAGCAGAGGCCCATTTTCTGGTTTGCAATCTGTATTGTGACTATGATGGCCGCCATTTCTTTCAGCGGTAGATGTTCTCACCAGTCATTAAAGTATACTAAGATATAAGATATACATCAGAGTTTGAGAAAGCCTCCAAATGGCCTAACATTTTAGTGACTATCTTTCTAGCATTGTTCTGCTTTATTCCTTTTTTCGGTTTCCCCTAAAAATAAAAGTAGTATTATTTACAGGGCTTTGGCAGAACTTTTCAAACAGAAGCTTTTCAGAAATTAAGCAGTGTAGCTCACTTTCAAGTACTCTGATTATTTTCTTTGCTCCAAAGTATACCAGGTGGAAGGAATGCATCAGATCTAAGGAGAATCTTAATTGTATGCTATTAGAGTGCCTGAGAAGTACTCCTTTAATCACGTGTTTAGTCACATTTATCAAATGGGTCTAATGAAGAACAGATATCAAGATGTATATTGCCACATACATGGTTTTCTCAGAAGCTAGTCAAAGTTGTTCAAAATAGTACCTCAAACCTTTCAAAAGGTTTCAGAAAAGTATGTCAGAAAAACAGATCATCCTAGCCAAAATGAATTTAAAAGTTCTTTTCCTCTGTTCAATTTCCACTTTTAGCATTCAAATGACTATTAAAACAAATAGGAATGTTTACTGAGTCCCTCCTGTGTGCCAGGGTTTGTGATGGTTAGGGTGGACAATGTGATGCTGTCCTCATGGAGCTCAGCCTAATGGATGCATAGTCTACTCCTGTAGCAGACTATTGAAACAAAACAAAAAAAGCTAATGATGATTATAAATTCCTCCACTGTTGCACCCACTCTAGGAAAAAGAGAATCTTACTGCAATTCAAGAAGCAAAATAAGCCCGTATCTTTAAATTCCAAATAAAGCAACCCTCCCTCCCTGACCTGCCTAAGGTCATCTCTGCAAACCTCAGCACCAACTAAGCCTCCCATATGTTTGGTACAACTGCTTCTAGCAACTCTCCAAGTTAGTACTGGTCCTTACTAAGGCTGCAAAAGCAAAAGCCGACCTCCAACAAGATCTCTCCTAGACTGCAGGTACTACAAACCTGGTCACCTGCTATTATTTGTCATCAAGTCAGTTTTGACCCAGTAAGTGGCTGGTGGGTTTGAACTGCCGACCTTGCAGTTAGCAATCCATTGTTTACTACAGCACCACACCAAGACTCCTATTATTGTTGTTAAGTGCTATGGAGTTGGTTCTGACTCATAGCGACCCTGTATAGGGTTTCCAAGGAGCAGCTGGTGGGTTTGAACCGCTAATTGTATTAGAACTTAAATTCTAAGCACTTGGTTTGCAGAAGGCTCTGTTTTACAGTGAATGTCCACTCCACTCCAATTTGAGTCCTAACTTAAATTCACAGCCTCCATTAAGTTCTGACCATTAGCCTATAATGTGAAAAGCTTTGCCCTCGGGCAGAATGTGTTTGAAAAGATTAAAACTACTCCCAAAACAGTCAAGGGAGAGACAGTCTCAACCTCAAAGACTTGCCTGGGCGTGCCCTTAATGAAACTGGAGTACCAGGGTGCATGGCCGTGAGTCAGACCCTTAACATTTGGTCAGAGAGCCCCAGAACCAGTTCTGTAAACTTTGCAAATCTGCAATAGTGTATGTATTCGAATCATGGTCCCTTTCCAACTTCCACAGTCCCGCCTGTGACAGTGATAAATTGATCTGCTGTCAGTCATGATTTTGTAACAATTTCCTGTTTTCCATGTTCCATATAATTAGCTGCCGTGGCTGTAAATCCATGGGACACCATTATGGCCTCATGCTTGATGGTCTCTCTCATCTGGATGATTTGTCTTATCCTGTTTAAGGCTTAATAAAAGGGTCTCTATAAAATATGTTTGAAGTTGGGAGCTTTCCCTCTTAAAATATAACTCCTATCAAGAAAATTACTTATGCTCGACATTTCACTCCTCACGACTTTACTCCATCACCCTCATAATCTCCTGGTGGCAACATACATAGGACACTCTGCCTTGTTTCTTTATACCAGTATTTGCCACGCCTCATCACGGCTGCTCTGATTCTAGACCTAATGGTGCTGCTGCTCCCCAAATTCCAGCTACCAGTTCTTTCCCACTCATTTCTACTTAGATACAGCCATAGATGCAGCAAAGAAACGGGGCATTCGTAGAAAGGACTGGACTCTGACTTACCTGCATAAATATCTATTCTGGTGGCATCAGCATCTCTGCAAAAAAAGAAAAGAAAAAAAAAAAAAAAAAAAAATCAAGATCAAAATGAAAATGAATATGAAATATCAACCACCAAAATGCAGGAAGCCTTACAGACATCCTATATACACTTGGTAACAAACTATCCTTATATATCTATAAAACACTCTGGAGAGTCAAATTATTTAAGATAATCACATGACACACACAGTGTTTGAATGTGTTTTGTTATAATAGTGATTTCATAGTGAAAACATCTAAAGGAATATGAACATTTCCCTTTACATATGAAATTACTCAGGCAGGTGTTTCTCTCACTTGCAGTATTTGCTTCCCATCGTAAAATGATGTTGCTATGACTTGTATACCTTTCCTTCTCAAAAAGATATTAGTAAAAAAGGAGAACAACCATGTGCCACAAAGTCGTGGAAAACACAGGTCTCATGGTATCTACATGGTGTCAAAAAACTAAACTATGAACCCATCACCTTCTCCTTCCCAGTCAGGGCACCCCAATGGACTCCAGCTATTGAGCTTAATCATTCAAGGTCAATCACCAGTGAAGTCATTCATAAATGCTTAGAAGTAACCTAGTTCAATTCTACTAATTATAGGCATGAAAAATGAGGCACAAGTATGTTTCATTGGTTTTAAATGCAAAAAGCCCACTCTAAATCTGTATGACTGCATGTTGTTGTCTTGTTTAATGCTGCTGAGGCAGTTCTGACTCATAGTGACCCCATATAGGGTTTCCAAGGAGTGACTCACCGGTGGCTTTAACTGCCAACCTTTTGGTTAGCAGTTCAGTGTTTATTCTACAGTGCCACACCAGGACGCCATACAGCTCCAAAAAGATATATAAACATCTTCAGATATGAGAGACTGCCATTTATGACTTAGAAAGGGATAGACTTGCAAAAAGTGTGCGTGAGATTTCCAGGAATCTTCCAGTTCATCATGATACACAAAAAAAGTAGCCTTCCACAGCATATCATGATTTTGCTAACAGTGGCAAATTTCAGCATTGTTCCATTAACCTAGAATGTTTTTTAATGTAAAAGTATGAGTCTACATGTGACTTTTCAGTTATACAACTTGCACATTTCCATGAACAGTTCAGTTAACAACAACAGAAATATTACTATTGGTCAAATGGAGTCCTGGTGTGGCCCTGCAGGATAATACACTGGACTGCAAGGTCAGTTTGAACTGCAAAGTTGGCAATTCAAACCCACCAGGCTCTCCTCGGAAACCCTATACAGGGTCACTATGGGTCAGAACCAATATAGGAAGAGGTAAGAAAAAAAAAAATCAGGAAGCTCATTAAATGGTAATCTGTTTAGGAGTAAGTCTGTCAATTCTTATCCTGCTCTTTTTTCACTAGTTATCAACAACCAGTCAATATATGATGTTTCTGAATTTTTACTACAGTCAGAAATAAGACTAAGATAATATTTCCCATAATTATAAACAGAATCCTGTCTTTAAATCAACTCAAACTTCTCTTCAACACTGTACTGTAACATTTATATGCTTCCATAACTAAGAACAGAGTGCTGGTGTGGGGCCATCGGATAAGCACTCAACCTCAAGAGCAGTTTGAACTGCAAAAGTCGGTGGTTAAAACTCACCAGCTGCTCCTCGGAGACACTATACAGGGTCGCTATGAGTCGGAACCCACACGATGGCACTTAACAACATCACTAAGAATGGAGTCCTGGTGTGGCGTTGTGGATTGATGCGCTGGACTGCAAGGTCAGTTTGAACTACAATTCAAGCTCACCATTCGCTTCCTCAGAAAGCCTATACAGGGTTACTATGAGTCAGAACTGACTGATGGCACTTAACAGCAACAACATCACTAAGAACAAGGAGCGCTGGGAGCAAAATGGATTACGAGCTAGCCTATCCACTGCAAAGTCAGCAGCTGGAATCTACCAGTTGCTTTGAGGAAGAAAAATTTACAACCTCAGAAACCCTTATTTGAGTCACTGTGAGTCCAATCCAACCCAGTGGGATATAACCACCACCCTATCACTAAGAACCCAGTATAAGATAGTGCTGAAGAGGGACTCTTTCCTAGTTCAGCTGGTAACAATAGAAGGTGCTTTGATCAATTACAGTCATCTGACACTAAAATATACATTTTAGGAGGACATGGAACTCTAATATAGCTTGAAAGATATTATAGATGGTATACTCTCAAGGTAGCACAAATTAAATCAAACCTTGTCTGTTCCATCAATTTGACATTTGATTCCTAAATTTCTATCTAATTCCCTAAATATCACTATAGCTACCTTGCTCTGTTACACAAGGCAAGGAAGTTTTGGAGGTCTTTAAGTTCACTATTTTTAGGCCAGCAGACAAACAGCAATGAAGAAATTTAAGTTAAGTAACAGTAGACACATCAACTAATGGGCTATTACAATTTTTTTGGGGGGGGAGGGAGTGTTAAGAATTCTCTTGGGAGTTGCAGCTGCTACAAAAATGCCTTCCTCTCAAGTCTTCAGAGAACAAAGGTCAGAACAACCCAAAAAGATTTCACTATAAACACAGACTGTGTATGTCTAAGGAGTACATACCTTGCATTATCAACCAGTTCTGCAAGGGCACCAAACAAGAATTCATGAGTAGTTCTGAAACGATAAATACTGAGTCACCCAAAGAAATTATGGAATTGGGACTTCTAATAAAAAGTCAAAATTATAAAGCAGCAAATAACCTAAAATCACCATCTGCATTATTGACTTATACTACATTCAATCTAAATTTCTCAAGACTTTCCAGAACTCACTAGCACCCCCAACCCCATCAAGTGTTATCATATTAAGTCCTGCTAACTACTGAGAAATACTGATTCTTCCTATTTTGGGCTGAGAAACCTATCCTAAAGCATTAAAAGATTCCTGTGTACCAACTGTTAAAAGTAGTGGTTTTCACTATACTTCATATTCTACCAGGAAAATGCACTTTATTTTTCACCACCTTAACCAGCTACATTGTCATCTTCTACTTATCTCTGGAGCATGTTCAGTGGACAGCTTATTATTTTGCTTTATCAATTTCCATGAATAACCTACTGGTGAACAAAAGGAAACCACATGCATCATTGCATTTCTTGGCTTTCTTCTTGAAAGTGGTGTGTATAAATGGATTTTGACTAAATACAAAACTTTCTCCACATGAAAGAAAGGAATCCCTGTCCCTTCTGAGCAATTTCTTATAAGGTTGCTATTAAAGTTAATCCCAGTGAGCAGGGTAGTTGATGGTCACCTTCTCTGGGAGGCTGCTCAGATTTGAGATGGGTAAATTTACAAGTACCATGTTATTCAGTACTCAATACATCTTTCTTTGTGCTTTTCCCCATACAAGCCCTCATTAAATGTAAAAACAGAATGTGTCTACACAAAGTAAATTAGATTGACTTTTGATGAACAAAAGCATAAAACATTAGTGATCAGTTTTCCCAAAATACCCATTTTCTGCATACAAAGCTTCATCCAGCGGATAAAATTTAACAATTAAAACTTTAGAATGAAAATATAGCAATATTAAATAAGCAACAGCCTTGTTGGGATCTCTAATCACTTACCATATTGTTGAAAACAAACTGTGAAATGTTTGTTTATAGAATGGAGACCCAAAACTAGTTTTCCCTCAAGTTACTCTTCAAGTTCTTAAAAATGTGAATTGTGATTTAAACAAAACAACTGGTTCTTGAAGCTTTAGGAAGAATTTTTTCCCATGAGATCAGTGACTGTTGTTGCTAATCCAAAAAAGGCATAACGAAGAGTAGAAATTATATCTCCAATTCAACTAGAAAAGAGAGTTCAAATTCTTCAGGCTAAATCCAATTCTTATTTTAGATGGAAAAATACAATTTTAAGAGAAAAAAATAATGAAACCACCTAATTTTTTGCTATGAAAAATATTTAATTTCTACATCACCTTAAATTATCAATTAAAGAAACAAAAAAATTCTGTAGCTTGCGCCACTAGAGGTAAGTAAACTGTAAAATTAAGAAGCCCTGGCAGTATAGTAGGATAAGCACTGGACTGCTGACCCCAAGGTAAACAGTTCAAATCCATCAGCAGCTTAGGATGGAAAAGATGAGGCTTCCTGCTTCCATAAAGATTTATAGTCTCAGAAACCCTATATAGTGTCCTGGTGAGTGTTGCAATCAACTGATGGCAGTGGGTTCTGGTTTTGCCAAAGGTAATACTAAAGTAGGAGTCCTGGTGAGGCCCTGTAGGATAAGCACTGGACGGATAACCCACCAGTTGCTCCTTGAAAACCCTATACAGGGTCACTATGAAGGTGTGGTGCTGCGAGTTAAGTGCACTGGGCTGCAAGGTCGGTTTGAAACCACAAGGTCGAAAAATCAAGCTCACCAGCTGCTCTTTGGAAACACTATAAGGGGTCACTATGAGTCAGAACCTACTCGACGGCATTTAACAACAACCACCCTTGCTCTCAAACCAGTTATTTTCCTATCTGACTTACCAGTGGCTTAGAAATGTACAAAACTTGGGAAACAGATTTAATTTGAGGATTGTTTTATAAAAATATAAAAGAACTAATACACTATTTACTTCAACAAGAATAACAGGAATATAGCTCCTAGAAAAAACAAGAATATAACCATACTAAAATTAACATTACAACTGGTACCCCAAATGCACTTAACTCTGGAGTAAATAATTTAATGAGTACAATTTCTGGTCTTTAGTTGTGAGAATGGTCAAAATGAATAATCTGGAAACTTCATTCTGACAACCTCTGCTACCAAGACAAGGTAACCAAAATTAGAAATAGTAGCTGCTTCTCAGCAATATGTGTATCTGATCGCTTCCCAGGAAAATATGGAATATTTAAAATTCAACAAGCCTATCTCAAAAAGGCAAATACACAGGAAATCTGGCTTTCTAAGTTTCCACTGTTTTTTATACAATGTTTGAAAGTGTGTCTTTATATATTTAGAATATAAAAAGAATATTCCAAATGGTCCTTGTTGTCTCACACAGTATCAATGCTATTCCATACAAATAGATTCCAAATAAGCTAACATATACTTCAAATGTGATGGTGGTGTGCTGTGGAATCGATTCTGACTCATAGCAACCCTGAATACAGTTTCCAAGGCTGTAAATCTGTAAAGGAACAGAAAGCCTCTTCTTGTTCCTGCGGAGGAGCTGGTAGTTTCAAACTGCTAACCTTGAGGTTAGCAGCCCAACTCATAACCACTATGGCTGGCTATCAGAGCTCCTTATTTAAAATGCAGTTAAACAGGTAGTGATTATACATCATAATAGGGTCTTTGTGATAGCAATAAACATCATAAAAGAGATGTTAATAAGTAAGGTCAGAGATAATCAGAAATCTTCAGATCTCCAAGTCACTCATGATGGATCCTACTAACAGATGCTAAAGCCAGCTTTAAAACTCTTAAAAATATAAAAATCATATTGCTGTATAAATTCTCTGCTTTTGTCTGAGAGAGACTGGTGGAACCCCTGAGACTATATGACCCACAGACACCTTTCAAGTCTGGAACTGAACTCATCCCATAGATCAACTTTCAAACAGACAAGTCTGTTCTATGGAGGAGGTAATGCTCCATAGAACCATTAATTATGCAAGACCAAAAGGGCAGCATTTGCCCAGGGACAAAGCTCAGAAGGGATAGTAAAGAAGGACCAATGGAAATGGCAAGGGAGGAAGTAGGAAGAGTGCTGTTACATTGTGGTGGTTGCAATCAATGACATCACAAAACAAAATGGGCATGAAATGTTGAATGGAAAAATTCTCCACTTTTTTTACAAATAGTATTCCCAGAGGTGGGAGCCCGGTTGCTCTTGTTGTTGTTAAGTGCCATCGAGTCGGGTCCGACCCATAGCGACCCTGTACAGGGTTTCCGAGGGTGTAAATCTTTACGGGAGTAGAAAGCCTCATCTTTCTCCCGCGGAGCGGCTGGTAGTTTCAAACCACTGACCTTAAGGTTCGCAGCCCGATTCGTAACCACTACGCTACCAGAGCTCCTCCCGGTTGCTCTAGAGGGCATTAAACTGTGAACCACATGGTCAACTATTCGAGTTCACAAGCGGCTCTGCGCAAGAAAGTCTTTCTGCTCCCACAAAGATATTCAGCCTCAGAAACCCTATCTATATAAAGTTGCTATGAGTTGGAACTGACTTGATGGCACTTAACAACACAAAAACATTCCAAGAAGTACACTCATTGCTAGGTAGCACTTAAGAGCAAACGAATAGATATCAAAAGAAATTATTTTCTTCACAGACCTAAAGATCCTTTGCATGTACTCCAAGAAAGATCAACATCTGGAAAAAGACAAAGATTTTTAACAAGCTTTTTCCAGTCCAAGCTTTCATACACCATTTATTCTATGTTGGAAATAGTTTTGCAACTCAATATTTCCAGTGACAAATTCATGTGTAAGATCAACTCATTATGAAAGGGAATGGTTTTATTTAAATTCCACTTGGATTTAAACCAACAAATTATCCACAAACTGATAGCTGCTGTTGAGTTCTTGGATATGGAAATGTTGACAACAGTTAATCTGCCTTAATTGCTAGAAAAAAGCTAATAAAATTCAAATGGCTTTAATCAGAGTGTGGATCCATATTTTAACAGACTTATAATAAATATTCTAGAGTTGATATGGATAAAGCAACCCCAAAATATCAAGCATACAATAGCTTATCTTGGCCATGTATGTACCCACAGGAATAGTAACAAAAAAAAAAAAAGGCAGGTATATATTCTAAATCATTCTGCTCTACCAGACTACTTAGCAACAAAGCGAAGTGACTTGCAATAAACATCTTATGTCAAAGGAACAGCACAACTCTCACTGCACCACAGAGGGAATCTAGGACCTAAATGGTTAATGAACTTTTATTGGCAGTAACAAGTCCCAAGACCAAAGACCAGTAACAGCATAAAACTCTTAGAACCTAATTTTTATCAACAGGTACTGGCAACATCCAGTATTAAAATAAATTAGCCTAACACTTCCAGGCTACCATGAGAATTTCCCAAACTTGCTTTAAACCTTATTGCTGATGTAACCAAACAAGGTGGCTCTAGAGATAAACACTGGACTGTGAACCACAAGGTTAGCAGTTGAGCCCACCAGGTGCTCTGCGGGAAAAAGATGCTCCCACAAATTTCCCTCAGAAATCCTATGAGTTGAACTGACTCAATGGCACTTAACAGCATACGAAGCACACAGGCATCAACAGTTGTCTCAGACCTAATACAGAAAGTTCAAGACTGCTGCCTCATAATTCACTAAGAATTCATCTACTTAATGTATTTCTAAGCAAACTACAACAAAGACCAACTCCTGATTTATGTAAACTATTATAAATCATCCACTCAATTTACTCTATGCCATGAATGAGTTAATACTTTACACACATTTTATATAATCCTCAGAACCACTGTTTCTAATTAGCCCCACTTTATAGATAACAAAATTGAGGCTCAGAGACATTGACTTCCCCAAGGACACAGCCAGGAAAGTCTTCTAATCCAGGTTTGGATTGCCCCCCAAATCTATGCTCTTTCCACTGTACCAAATTGATCTCGCCCTTCTAGCCTGGGTTCTACTTGCAAGTCTGTGTTAAATAGGAGGTGTTGTTAAGTACCATCAAGTCAGTTCTAGTGACCCTGTACAGGGTTCTCAAGGAATGGCTGGTGAGTTTGAACCATGAACCGCCAACCATGTGGTTCAAACTGACCTTGCAGTCAAGTCAGTGCTTTATCCCACAGTGTCACAAGGCCATTTCCTTCATAGGTCACAATTAAGGCAATATTGTAGATGTCAGCCACCCTAAAATGGATTTGTCTTTTTAAATACTGGAACAAATAAGTTATTAAGGCAAATCTTTCTTCACTGTAAGTGACTAATTGAACCACTTGACACAGAGGTAGCACTTTTTTCCATCACTATGTGTATTAGAAGTCACATGAACTGAGATTTTGAAATTTTGTTTCCTCTTTAGAATTAACAATGAGCTTCCAATCAGGTCGCCATAATAATGAAATCTCTTGGGGTTCACATACGTTCTTCTGGTAGGGCTGCACACATTCAAAATCAGAGCTTCAAAGGACAAGGCTGTGATACTGGTAAGAAATTCCAGAGTGTCCAAAATGATACTGCACCCCTCAAACATTCGTATTACACAGGTAAGTCAAATTCACAGACAACTGTCCCAACTTCACCTTATACAAAGGAGCTCTGGTAGCATAGTGGTTACAATCGGGCTGCGAACCGCAAGGTCAGCAGTTCGAAACTACCGCAGTAAAAAGATGAGACTTTCTGCTCCCATAAAGATTTACAGCATTGGAAACCCTGTATAGGGTCACTGAGTCGGAACCAACTCCACAGCACATAACAACAACAAACCTCTTTGCCTTGACTCTGTCCATCTATTGTTAAAAAAGGACACGGAAAAAATTAAGTTGGGCGTAATAGCCCAGAATTGTCACATTATGGAAACGAAAACTGAAAACTTTCTAAGTGGGGAAAAAATCCTTTTGGACAAGGGTGAGCCCTTAAAGGAGAAACTGACTCACGTCAGTACTGCATAATAATCAAAATCTTAAAATAAAATCAAAATAAAAAAAATCTTCTGGCCATATAAGTATTATTGCCATAAATTTTGATGCTCTAAATCTGCCACTTAGCAGCTGTGTAACCTTAGGCATGTAACTAATTTCTCTGAGCATCAGTTTCTGAGTTGCTGTAAAGATTATTTTAGACAAAATTTACAGGTGATTGGCTGCTGTTACTATTTATTATCACAAGATTCTTAAGTTCAGTTCATGGTCTTCCAAACTGGCATATAGTCTCAATATTTGTTTGAGCTTTGGTTGGTCATTCCAAAACTCAGAACTGAGAGAACTAAATCAAACGCAACCATGTGTGAACTAAGTGATTTCAACTGTTTGGTCTTAAAAATTGAATGTGACACACTGACTCCGACCCATTAGCAACCCTGTATGACAAAGTAAAACTGATCCTTAGGGTTTCAGAGACGGTAAAACTTTACAGGAGCAGACTGCCTCATCTTCCTCTCATGGAGAGACTGGCATGTTTGAACTGCATACCTTTCTGTTAACAGTCCAATGATTAATCCACTGTGCTACCAGGACTCCTTTGTTCTTAACAAGGCAGTTTAAAAAAGGGGGGGGGGAGGGGTGCAGGGGGCTTTGTCCAAGGCTGTGCTATAAACTAAGTGAGTAACCTTTGATTAGCCATTTCATCTAACTGGGCTTTCAGGTTTATCATCTAATCATGCAAATTTGCCTAGATGACCTCTAAGGTCCCTTCTCTAAAATGCTCCACAGAATGTTCAACAAGCTTCCTAAATAAAACAAAAACAGACTCTCATCTCTTACAGTTCACTTAACTACTCAGAAAAAAAAAAATTTTTTTTTTCTTTGAAAGGAAGAATAGCAAACAAAAAAATAGACTACATTAAGGAATCACATAACAAGTTGTCTTCTCCCTAAAAGGCTAAAACCATTGTAATATTGGAAATTTTAAACCTATACTCTCAATTCTGAAGATGGTTCCCAGATAACTCTGGGCCATACATTTAACTCATCACCTCTCCAGGTACGGTAGCTTACCTTGACCTCAAAAGTAACAACAGATGAATGTACTTAAAACACTACAGTAGTTTTAACCCCGTTAGAATGGGCATTAAGGATTTGCTGAAGCATTCCAAGACCAAACTGGGGTGACAGTAGCTTCTTCATCAACTCAACAAGTAGCATAGTTATGTGTTCTAGCTCCCTGATTTGTGCACATCTTGGGGTGAAGACTACTCAAATCAAAGATTTAAACAAGTTGGGCGTTTCCTGCACAGCATGTACAAACTACAGGGGACATAGGGACCAATTTCCCAGGTAGATAATGCCAAATATTCACAGAAAAAAGAAAATTTTTTTTTTCTTCTAGCAAACTGTAGTTATGTATCTTCATTCTTTTTTTTCCTTCTCGTTGCAAGAACTGTGAAAACCCAACTGTTTTGGCTGCTGTCACTAAAGAGTAAAAAAAGTTGATCCTGGTTATAGTCCAACTTTCGGTGATCCAAAGAGCAATATTTGTTGAGTTCCTATCAAACACTTGAAAAACAAAACTCAATAAATCGACTTGAAATAAGCAAAGTACACATTCAGAAAACTTTGATCCAATCAATGAAGATCAGATTCTTCTGGATTAGCAACAGATATGTCACTGATCTCAGTTCTTCACCAGAGTTCAAGATTCCTCCTGTGATACAACTCATTCCAGTGATACATCCCCAAAAGTAAACCATTTCCTGGGGAAAGGATTTCCATATTAATATCAACTAATTCGTTACTGGTTACCTCTGTGGCTCCTATATACTTACGAATTTGTATGGAGATACTCAAAGGTTAGCTGAGCTCGATTCAGACTGCTGTAATTCGTAAAAGCCATGACTGCAGTGAGGCTCCCGGCCTCTATACACTAACTGGAAAATAAGTTTACAATAGAATAGATTTTCCAGGATTCCTTCGAGTAGCTTTGGTAGTCTGTGCTCCTTGAAGACAGTCAAATGAAGCTATGTAGTATCTATCCAAGAGAGATGGCTAACGCTACAAGTATTTCTTCTCTTTATCTTCTCAACTTCTATGACGTAATACTGGGGGAAAAGCTACATCATAAATCTGTAGCCCTAAGGAGTTTTTAGCTTTAAATGGTGATACTTCAAATCCGATGAATGTAGGTCGTGAAGTAAGTAGACAATGGTATTTAAATTGGCGGTTTGTTACTTGTATATCTTCATGTTGTTTGCGCCTTGACTTTTTTCTTTCTTTTTTACTGTTGTTGCTCCCCCAAATTTCCTACGCTCATGAAACTTACAATCCGGAGATTCTCTACACCGGAAATACCAACTTCTGTCATAAAATTTGACAATCGCCCATGTCTTCACCACCAGTTATTTCACAGGATCCTTAAAAGGGTTCTAGAATGGCCAACACGACGTCGATGGAGCGCTTCACCACCTCCTAACTGAAAGGCCTCTTAAGCGCTCAAAGACCTTTTTTTCAAAGTCAGGATCAAACCCACCCCAATCTCTTCAAGGTCTGGGCCAAACTACCTCACACTGGCCCACTTATGTAGCCCTCAGAGTCGACCCGCCCAAATCACCACAGGCGGGCCGCGCCCCTCCCCAGCTTTCTCTCAGACAACGGGCCTTTGCTGGGCCTCGGCCCCGTGGCCTCCTCACGATGAGGAGTCACTCCAGACTGAAGGCCAGGATAGAAGGCAGTGGCGAGCGCACCACTCGACCGGGCGTTGTCTGGCGCTCACAGCTGCTTTTGTCCCTCCCCACGGAATTGGAACCCAACAACCGCAGCGCGCGCTTGGAACCATGTGCTGCCTCCGCCTCTGCCTCCGCCTCTGCCGCCGCCGCGCACCGCGCCGCGCTGGATGAGATGATGACAGAACACAGTGCCGTAGGTTCTGCGTTTAGGGCTGCTCCACCGCCGTCACCGCCACAACTGCGACAGCCACCAACAACAACACCACCACCGCCACCGCTTTGTCTCCGCTAATGCACGGTCCAGGCCGCCTCGCGCACTCCCCGACGCCCCAAGCCCCCGAGGCCTCGCGGGTCATTCAACCAATCAGAGAGCTGCAACTCCTCCCGCCCCCGCCTTGATGCGCAGCCTGTTGATTGGCGGACAACTCGTCCCCACGTGACCGGATCTTGATTGCCAGGCCCGCCCTCATCACGTGAAAGCTCGCGCCTCTCTTCCTGCTTTCCTGACCCTCTCCGCCATTTAAAGAAACAGTACCGGGGGCGGGCCAAGCGACGCAGCCGGGACGGTAGCTGCGGTGCGGACCGGAGGAGCCATCTTGTCTCGACGTCGGGGAGTCAGGCCCCTAATTCGAAGAAGCCCTGGCGCGCCCTCCCCCCCTCCCCGGTCTGGTAGGGCGAAGGAGCGGGCGCGCGGTCGATCGAGCGATCGGTTGGCGGCTCTTCCTCCTGCTCTGGCATCCAGCTCTTGGGGCGCAGGCCCGGCCGCCGCGGCGCGCGCCCGGTGGCCGTTGGCGCTCGCGCCGCGTCTTTCTTCTCGTACGCAGAACTCGGGCAGCGGCTTATGCGTTTGCGATTCGACGAGGAGTCGTCCGGGTGGTCGGAGGCGGCGGGCAGCTGCTCCGCCCTGCTCCCGGGGAGGCGGCGGCGGGATTTGGCACGGCCGGGGAGGCGGGGGTCGCCGGGGCCGGCCTGGAGGCCTGGCGCCACCCCTCGGGGACTGCAAGGACCCAGCTTGGGGGACAGGAGGAGGCTGGGGGATGGTTGGTGGTGGGCTTTCTGCTTTGCCTTTTCCTCCTTATGCCGCCTTAGTGAGGGGCGAGAGCTCTGGCGGCAGCTCCGGGGTGGGGAGACGAACCCCGGAGTCGGAAGAGCTGGGCTTGCTTCCGGGCCTACCTACCAGCTGGCCTAGAGTCCTTAGGCAAGTCACTCTAATTCACGCCTCAGTTTCCTCCTCTGCCTATCAGTGTTTGTGGGATTGAAAGCGCTTTGTAACCTATAAAGCGTCTTTATACGTAAAAGATGATTATTGTTTGTAAAGTTTTTGAGTTGTAATAAAACTTAGTAATTGCCCAATCCTTGGATTTTTAACCTGGGAGCCTTGGATTGGTGTTGGAGCTCTCCAGACTCCCTGAAATTGTACGCAGTAATCTGTGGAAATGAGCATTTTGGGGGTGTGAGAATCCATGTCTCAAGTTTTTACAGGAGACTGTGACCCAGTAAGAATTACGAACTACAATTCCTTTGTGCCACAGAGGAGGAAACTGGGGCCTAGATGTCATGTAGGACACTTCACAACCCGTTTGAAATCCCTGGGATATGTGAGCTGTTTAGATGCCTAACAACACTCCCCTGCTTGACTTCTGTTAAGTCCTTTCACCATGGGGTGCCTGAAGGGTGGCTGACGGCATAATCGGCATAATGGTACATCCGCAGGCACCTAATATAAAGCAGCTCAAACTAGTCATGGGAACGTTCTCTATATCGAGAAGCCGGTTGAATTGTTTGGCCCAGCAACTTTGCTTTATGCTGCTTATACTGGTGCCTAATTACCTTTCTGAATCTTTCATTGATCGTTTTCCGTAACCTTGGTTGCCATCCATGTACTTGTTTCTACTTACGGCCCTATCTCTAGTTTGTGTGGTTGGTAGCCAACAGGCGTCTTTTTAAATGGTGCTGCTAAGCCCAGCTAATTAGCCGTACACGTGGATTCTTAGCAAGCAGCTCACTGGGACAGACTGAACCCAGCATGGAATTCCTGAACGTGTTTGGGTTTTGTTTTTGTTGTTGTTGTTCTCCCCCAATATTAATTGAAGGTTAACATTCTCTGAAACAATTTGTTCATAGAACTCCTGCTGGACCCCATAATCAGTAGATTTCGAAGCAACTCAAAGCTTAATTTGTTATGGCCTGCCTTGTATTTAATTGCTTGAAAATGTGATACTAGGGTGGCCAAATTCCTGATTTTTTTTTTTTTTTTTTTTGCTTCTTTGTTAATTGTTAGCTGCTTTTATCAAATTCCAGACCATTATCAGACACTAGGAATGTTTGAACAGTTTGATTTCAAACATTTTCATATTGTGGAATGGTGCTTACCAGTAGTACAGCTCTAAGCAAATAACCAGAAATAAGTTTAAATGTATGTTGTCTGGTTGGTTAGGTGTTAGCCGGTCCTGGTATTTCATACAAATTTTTTTTGGCGGGGGGGAATTTGTTAACTAGACCTTTTACCTAAAGGGCAGAGACAAAATGTTCTCCCTTCCAGAGAAATGACTGTTTGGGGGAGGGGCGGGGGGAATGTATTGGTCTTGTAATCGAATCTGGATGTACCTCAAAAGAATCTAAGACTGTGGTGACAAGATGCTTTCTTCAGGAAAAGGGAGGGAAAAAACAACTGGAACTCAGCACTTGAATTTCTGTGGCAAAATGTGAGAAGTCCAGGATTGAAGGTTCAAAGGGTGTCACTACATTGTCCTGCACATGCTGGAATCAATTTCTTCCCATGCAGTCACAGATACAGAATTCAGCTTTCCAGGTTACCAAGATCTGGACCTGGGATCCAGGAGAGCTTTTCAGGATGGAGCAGGAACTGTGGAGCTAGACATTTTTTATTTGTGAATTTGGGGACTCTTGACTTGTGAGAAAAGAAGCAATGGTTGAACAAGCACTGCCATGAACACTATTCTTGGGAATTAGAAGACCTAAGTTTCTATCCAGACCCTCGGTGCATACTCTGACAACACTCCATCCAGAGTGAACTACGGTACTTGCCATTTTCCAAAATGCCTTATTGACCATCTCTTAATTTTGCTTATGCTCACATCTCAATCCTGGAATGTCTTCCTCTGGTTCTTCACCTGTCAAAACTGCCATTTCTTCAGTATGCAACTCAGATGCCCTCTTTTCCATGAATCTCCTAACTTCAGCCAGAAATAATCTTTTTTGTTTTATACTAAGTTGTGTATCTCTTATCTATATTTGTTATGATAACTTGTAAAATAGTTATTTGCATGCATTTGATCTCTTTCCAGATAGCAAACTCCTTGAAAGCAAGGGCCTTGACTGATGCATCTTTGCCCACACACACCACCACCCCTGATGAAGCTTTTATTAGAAAGGAGGAGTTTAGAGAGCAGGCGAACTCAGAATAAGCACTCAGTAAGTGTTTGCTTAATCTCGGTGATAAGCTAAAATGACTTCTGAATTAAAGACAAGTCACTGGATGTGGGGCAATGTTTCTTTCTTTATCCTCTATATTTATAGATCATATTTTTTTCATTCCAAATTTGAGAAAGATCTAAAGAGACACCCCTCTTACCCCCATGCTGAAGAGAAAGTGTTGAAGGGTAAGCTGAAGTAGAGTGTAAGAACTAGGGCTGGCCATCCTGTCCATGGTACTGTATTCTCTGTCAATGAAGATGAGACATTGTTAAAATGAAAGTTTAAGGGCAGCTTTTAAGAGGACAAAGTCACAAGAGCAAGATAACTTGAGGGCATAGGAAAAGGGGCAGTATTAATCTGCTTTGATTTGTTGTCTGTAAGCTTAAATTCTTAGTTCTTGTACCACCTGTGGAGCTGCTCCCTACACCCACACTGGCTACTGTCCAGCGGTCTGAATATAATCAAATGACTCTCCCAAAGTGTGAGACTAAGGGCAGTTAACTGTTTGCTGCTTCTCTGAGACCTTTTGTTCTCAGCAGTTAAGAAACAAATTTTTCCAGAGAACTTCTGTTCTCATCAGAGGTGATTAACCAGGCTTGTCTTTTTATTTCCTTATCATTTTTCAGCCTTTAAGCCAAGCTTGTTGAGAGTTAGTACTCGTTAGTCAGCTGATGTCCTGTATTTGTAATTCCATGCATTTGTTATCTTACCTGCTTTGTCCCTGCCCTTCCAG